GGCATCGACGATTGGTGAAGAGCAAATACGACATAACCCAGTGCTACGCGTTTTGTCTGTACAACTCGGAGTACAGTATTATACTGCAAAGCGGCCGGCCCCTTGTCCGCAGGGCAGGATAGTGGTTTATTCATTCATTCATTCATTCATTCAATCGAGTTAGCTCCTCAATTGTGCTTCTAGCAAGCCTGATCCATGCTCATGCTAAACTAAGTTGCGGTGCAGTAGCAACAGCAGCGGAACCTTGGAATTAGATGTGCTTTCACCTTGATCGGCGGCAAGGCTTATACTCGCATTGTAACTTAATCTCACACTGCTGGAGAGTGATTAAAGCCTGACTTAGAAATCACCTGCAGTCCACGCACCGTACTGTACGATACTCGAGTACTCATATACTAGATATGGCATCGGTGCAAGTGCAAGGCACTCAGTCGCGGCGCAGCACGTGGGTGATGATATTTCAATGGATGCAGTGCAGTGCAGCATGCTCGTGGAAGTAACGTCACGAGGATCATATCCCCCCCCCCCCCCTCGCACTACAAGGATCAGATCAACAAAGGAAAAAGTATAGTGAGAAATGTCGATGATATTGTCCTCAAAATGTCTATCTATCGTTGTGACAAACACTCCTTCTTCATGTTCGTTGAATGTTGTGGGCTGATTTGGAATACCCGTACCGGTATGATACCGTGATCGACCTCCGAGCCTAGGCGCAGCCAGCCAGTCTGCCTGCCAAGGGATGGACATCATACCATTCTTTTCGAGGGGACTTGAATACCCCTATGTAGCGTATAGAGAATAGGTTAGTCTACCCTCCCCCCAGACCATCTATGATATCTACCTGCACGGTAAGAAATCGCTTTTGCCTCACAGAAGCATATCCGAAGTTCGGGATGTGGTGCATGGTCCTATCAATGGAGGGTTCGGTTTAAGAGGTTGTTCACCCACCTGATCCTACAAGAGAATTTATAATTGTACAAGTATGATATTATGATATACGTTGTTCGGTCCAAGCGTCACGTTACCGGAAATTTTTTCTTTCGGGGTCGATGGGAGACTAGACCTGCTACCACACTCGAGCACCGGCACCCGAATAGTTCCGCACGGTACGGCCCCTGGCCCGCACCCCGACCACGCCCCCCAAGGCCCCCCGCGACAAATTGGAGAATAATAGCTGCCTACCGTACTCTATTGAGAAGGTTGATACCGTCTCCTCAGGCGCAATCGTTAGAACTAATAAATAAGCTATTATATAACTAAGCTTTGGTCGTAGTTTTGTTTTGCTTCGTCCTTCGGCCCCACTAACGAATGGTCGGAAAAGGGGGAACTTGCCGTCCGTCCCTCTCCGTCAGAGTCGGGATCGATTCCGTTGCACAAGCTTTTTTTTTTTTTTGGAACGGCCCGCTGGGTCGGTTCTTCCGGCCAATGATATCGAACTTATCACCCGTATTATAGTGAGGATAAAATCGTGACAAAGAGGCGATAGAGGTTGTTGTTTTTTTTTTTCTTTCGCAAGGGGAACTTCCATATCTACGAAGTCACCTGTTATCGTATCGTGCAAGAAGGATTATTCTATAATTTAGCTTGTTACGTTCGGGTTCCCGAGGGACTTCAGGCAGGACTTTTTTTTTTTTTTGGCTGGTGGGCATTATGGTACTTGTACTATACCGGTACTGTACTGCATGATACCGTATCGTACTGCCTCCTCCCTCTCCGCTGCTGAGGCATCACAGCCCAGTTTAAAACTTGGCCACGAGCCTGTTCAAGTAATCTAATTAAAAAAAAAAAAGCTCCGTGTTTCCTGAAAGGGGTACGATACCCGAGTACTCGAGTAGAGTTTTTCAGAATAATAACAGTATTAACATGACTTGACAAATTGGGTGGTGCCTTGGCAAGGGTTGGACCACTCGGAGCGAGTGGATTTGGGGAAGATCGTGGGTTGCTGACTGACTACCGGTATAGTACTCGTAGTATATACAGTACCAGGGGTTTGGGGCCTCCCTGACAGCGGTTACTTGTAACGTAATCTCTCTATCCCACTTTAGTCTACGACTACTGTACTCGTACTTGTAGGCCTACCAGGGGCTTTTTGTTTCAAAACGGGGGTTGGGACACTGCACGGGAGATACTCGAATCGTCGAGTCAATGCGGTATCGTACCGCGAATGCTGCATCAATGCTGCTCGGCATTGCCATGATGGGAACAATAAAGCCCGCGTATATTTGTTCACGTTTGCTCAATACCCTAGTTTGAATTCTTTCAAATCCGACGGGGATGTCTGGTGGCATAGTCCACACTACCAACACAAGTACTGTACGATGCTCGTGTAGTGCCAATCATTTCATGTCACGATGAGACCTCAGGCCAGATCGGGCATTGCCGTTTGTAAAGATCTTGACTTGACTAAAGGCCTGTAAACATGCCTGTTGGAATAATAAAAAATATGTGTAGTAGAAAAAAAAAAAAAAAAAACGAAAAAAAAGGGTAAAAGGGGAGGAATAACCGGCGAAAGCAGATGCACATACGATAGCTGCAGTACGGCAGGAGAAAGAAGGAGAAATAATTTCCATGGTCCTGCAGCCATAGCCCAACCGATTTTTGGCCCGGGGCGGTTCATTTCATTTATTTTTTTCGCAGCTCCCAGAAAGCCCTGCTCGCACTGCCCCACAGTGCTTCCTACCTTCATCGCATTGCGAGAGCGAGGGCAGGAGAAGGTTAAGGTTGAGAGGCGGAGTAGCAATCTATAGTAGAACTGTGTAATCCGGAACATACCGGTAGATCTCTTTGGGAAGGAAGGGCTCTGGGAATATTAGCGGTGGTCCCTGGCGTTTTTCTAGCTGCCGAGTTGTATGATATATCTTCAGTGCTTGGTCATGATGCAAGCACTATCTTGGTGAGGGTATGTCACTTTATTCGCCGCCCCCCTCCCCTACCAGTGCTTGTATTATTGGCTTGACCTTCCTTCCTTCCCCCCCCCCCTGCTCCATCCCACGTTTTCCTATTGGCTTTTTCCTTCTCTCTTACGTTTACTCCCCCTTTCCCTTCCTGATTCCTTGTACAGCGGGAACCTTGGTCGAGGTGTGGTACCGCAATCCTCCTACCGGCAAGATAGACGATCGAATATGTCCGTGAATGGGTAACAACAAGTTGGCTTAGTGCGGTATTGGTGGAAGGGGGCAGCGTATCCTGACAGCCTCTCGTTTTTATCCCCCTTTATTGCTTTTTATTCACTCCCGTTCTCCATCCGTTCTCCCTTCCCTTCTCGCGCCGGCCCGGAGGATAGGTGAATCGCTTCCCTCACCCAAGGCGGTGCGCATGGACAGTAGGAACGCGTTACAGCACAGTAATGACGTTCCCGAAAACGCCCTGCCTTAAACTGTAAGTTAATGTCCTGCCTGCCGTATGGCCCATACCACAACGGCCCACCCCATCTATTCGCCTACCCATCTGTCCCTAAGCAAGCCCGTCACCCGGGAGGGGCTTTCAGGGAGGAAAGGAGCCAAGAAGGTGAAAAGAAGAAAAAAAATCTGCTCGTCTTCATCCCTGTCTTTACTTGCGCCTTCAAGCACATTCCCTTGAATATGTTCTCCAGCAAGTTGTCTGTGTGAACGGGCCCAATTCCCCGGGTGCTTGAAGTCTATGGTACAAGGTGGGCTATGGGATGCGGGATCGGTCCGGGGTGTTGTCAGCGTAGGGCCACAATAGTGAGAGTGTTTATTGCTGACTTTGTCCCCTTTCTTTTTCTCCTCCGGCTTTTCCTTTCTTTTTCTAATGGAGAGGTAAACATGGACGATCCTTTGGCTCGGCGATAGAATGTTATGGTATTTTATGGAAATCGTGGTGGCTTTGGTGACGTGGGCTCACGTCCCCGTGACTCAAGTTGGCGGGTTAAGATAAACAGTTGTGTGTGAATTGGGGTTTATGGGGGGGTGGGCGAATTTTCAGGTAGTAGCTCACCCCCCGGAGGAATTGGGGAATCTGGAGAATTCGGAGAGCATTCTTGTGGTGAAATGTGAATTTTGAAATAAGGAGAGTTTAGAGATCATAGCAGTAAAGTTTTACAAGACACCCCCGCCGCGAGATAGTGATGAACATACTCCTGAGGTTTCGGTAGAGATAGTTTTACTGTCCTCTTGCCCATTATGTCGCCGTCATATATGAGATCTAGGGGCATCACGTTATCTCTAAGGAAGTTCACGATGTACCTGGGGGGTCCCGTTTGCACTCTTCACTACCTCCTGGGGAGCTGGGTTCAGATGCAAAGTCCTATTGCCAACTATAGCTCCATGATCCCCACGAAAACAAGTCTCGAGGGAAGGATACCATCGCTCTCCCTAGTCGCTTCCATCTTCTCAACCGTTTATATGCCCTTGACACAACTTGGATGACCCTCTCTGCTCCTCCGTCGCTCCAGCACTTGGCCCTGAGGCCTCTCCACTACTCCGGCCGGGATACTCCACTATTCATCCCCCGACCCTTTAACTATAGAGTCGAAGATTCACCATGCCAACGTAAAGAAATTCCCTACATACACCATCCCTTTACCCTCGCAACACCACCCCAAAACCAAAACCTTCTTGACTAAAATCATCAACATTCACATACCCTCACTCGTGCCACAAACAAAGCTGTAGACAAGTCTTCAAGAGAGGACATTAGCCTTGGCACACATCGTCAGAAACCACCGCCGCTGAAACACCCGCAATTCTAAAGCCGAAAGTCATCGAAACGAAGTAGCCCATTTGCCATCGAACAAAGTGACCGTGGATTAGGCATTAGCGGGTTCCTTGGCCCTCCTTTCCTCTAAAAGCAAGTACTCGTACACCTCAGTGCCCTTTCTACTCTAATGCCTGACGGCGGTGCTCAAGGCACCTGATGCCTAATGCCCTATCGAGTGACATCCGATGCCCAAGAAGCCTGTCTTGGCAGAACGGATGAGCCTCAAAAAGTTTGACAAACACGCACATGAAAACAGGGGAAAAGTGACATGGGACAATCCAGAACGGAGCAACTCCAATTCCCCCTCCCCCTTTCCCAAGCGGAATATACGAATATACAACCTAGAAGGAATTCACTATCATCCGTTTCCAACGCTCGATGCGACAATGCTTCTTGGTCCGTAGGCTTCTCCTGCCCTTTGAGCGAACATCTTCTACAGCCTCGCCATCATGGCGGGCACCGTTGCCGTTATCGAGGTGCCCGCCGCCTGTTCACTCACTGCCACCGCAGAGGCCTTTTTCAGCGTCCGCCAGGACTTGCTTCGAGAGGATTTTGCCAGAGCTGGAGAAAAAGATGAACGATATTCCACTGGAGAGGTTTAGGAATTTTTGTATCGTTGCCCATGTGGTGGGTTTTCTACTTGTTTACCCGCTTGATCCGTTTGACGGGTGGGTGCAGTCGGAGTTAATTAAAGTGCTGATTCAATTCCATAGGATCATGGGAAGAGCACCTGTACGCTGATTCAATACCCGGAGTTTGAGAGGGGGCATTCTTGAATTTATTTATTTTTGATTTTTCTATAAGGGCAAGGGAGGATGGATTGCTGCTAATGTTTCATTGAGTGAGATAGTGAGCGATAGACTTCTGGAGCTCACGGGGACTATTGCTCCTGGCGGGAACAAACAGATTTTGGATAAGCTTGATGTAGAACGAGAGCGAGGGATTACTGTTAAAGCGCAGACATGTAGTATGATTTATAATTATAAGGTTTGTGTCCATCATCTTCATTCCGAACTATTTGCTAATGGTGGAGTAGGGGGAAGATTATCTCCTCCACCTTGTAGATACCCCCGGGCATGTCGATTTCCGAGCAGAAGTATCCCGAAGTTACGCTTCGTGTGGAGGAGCTATTCTCCTAGTCGACGCATCGCAGGGTGTTCAAGGTAGCTGCGTCTAGCTCCTTATTCCACGATATAGAGTCTAACAACCGAGAATACAGCACAGACAGTGGCCAATTTCTACCTTGCCTTCGCTCAGGGCCTACATCTCATTCCTGTAATCAACAAGATCGACCTGTCAACAGCGGATCCTGGGAGGGCGCTTGACCAGATGAAATCCAGCTTCGAACTCGATCCCAAAGGTGCGGTTCTAGTATCTGCTAAAACCGGCCTCAATGTCGAGTCAGTATTACCGGCCGTTGTCGAGCAAGTACCAGCGTAAGCGCCCCCCCTTTTTTTTCCTTCTGGTGGACGGTCTCTTCGAATTCGAGAAAACGGTCCAAAAATCTCACAGTTCAATAGTCCCGTAGGCTCACATGAAGCTCCGTTAAAGATTCTCCTAGTCGACTCCTGGTACGACATGTACAAAGGCGTGATCCTGTTGGTCCGAGTCTTTGAGGGCATGCTCCGGCCTGGAGATGCCATCGTCTCCTTCGCTACAGAGAAGAAATACATCGTTGGAGAACTAGGCATCATGCATCCCCTCGAGAAAGCGACTTCCTCCTTACGTGCGGGTCAAGTCGGATACGTATACTTTAGCCCGGGAATGAAGAAGAGCTCCGAAGCAAAGGTCGGGGACACATTTACGCATATCGGTATGGAGAACGTTGTCCGGCCGTACCCCGGATTTGAGGAACCGAAGCCTATGGTTTTTGTCGGAGCATTTCCGGTGGATCAGTCGGAGTTCAATCGACTAGACGATAGCATAAATCAGCTAGTGATCAACGACAGAAGTGTTACACTCCATAAAGAGTCTTCAGAAGCTCTGGGGCAGGGGTGGAGGTTGGGTTTTTTGGGTTCGCGTCATTTCCTTTTACTATCACTCGGATTTCGTTTTTGATACTGACTCGATTAATTGAAGGTACGCTACATTGCTCGGTGTTCGAAGATCGCCTAAGGCAGGAGCATGACACCTCAATCATCATCACCGCTCCAACAGTGCCATACATGATCAAATACAAGAATGGCACCGAAGTCGTCGTCCGAAATCCCCACGAATTTCCCAATCCCGACATGGGGCACAACCGGATCGAAGCCTTCTACGAGCCATTAGTTCTTGCCACCATCACCCTTCCAGACGAATACCTTGGGAAAGTTATCGAGCTCTGTGAGGTATATATTTATACACTTCCTCCTGTCCCCAGTACCCCCCCCCCCCCCCACTAGATGCTAAAAACAATTCCAGTCAAACCGTGGCGCGCAAGTCTCGATCGAATTTTGGACAGCCAGCCAAGTCATCCTAAAGTACAAAATCCCACTCGCTCAACTAGTCAGCGACTTTTTCGGAAAACTCAAGGGTATAACGAAAGGTTATGCATCACTAGACTACGAAGATGCCGGGTACGAGAAGAGTGACGTTGTGAAACTACAATTACTTGTGAACAAAGAACCCGTGGACGCCATTTCCCAAGTTCTACACAGAAGCCAGTGTCAGAGGATTGGTAAACAGTGGGTTTCGAAATTTAAGGAGTATGTGGATCGGCAGCTTTTTGAAGTGGTCATCCAAGCCGCGGTGGGGAAGTTGATTGTCGCGAGGGAGACGGTGAAGCCCGTTAGGAAGGATGGTGGGGTTTCCGAATCTTCCTTGCCTTGGGAGCCTCTTCGCTGACCGATTGCATAGTCACTGCAAAACTCTACGGCGGCGACAGAACCCGGAGAATGAAGCTCCTAGAGAAGCAGAAGGAAGGGAAAAGGAAGCTGAAAGGCAAGTTCCCACACTAGTAACATGAAAACAATATGAAATACTAATTTTTCATGATCCAGCCATCGGTCAAGTCACGATCGATCAGAAAGCTTTCCATGGTTTCTTGCAGAAGAATTGATAGATCTCTTACAGAACGTCGAACAGATCATATTTCACCCAGAACAATTATTCTACTGTAAATAAGAAACGCATATATAAGTTCTAGAACGCGTGCCCCTATATTGTACAGCGAAAGTCGTGTTGGACCGACCGGGGCTGTGTTCTTTGGTGTTGGGCTGTTGTCACTCATACCTTAACCTTTTGCTTCAACCATTTAGAGTATGGATCTTGATAGGTATTGTGCCCTTATTCGTATCATATTATCAGGGCATGGGATCGCTGCGGGCCACGTAGATGTTCACCCGCCCGGCGTCGGTGGATATATCGTAGACACGTCCCTCATATAACCGAAGCGGGATCTGTTTCTTCCTTGTGTGATGTGATGGTAGAAAACGAAGCCGATCCTACGGCCCGCACTCACAGACAGAGCATTAGCTATACATCTCTCGTGGTGTACCCTGCCATCTCTGTATCAACATAATAACAATACTATATGCTTTGTATCACATGCGTTCCCCACGTTGATCCCGAACACCCCGCTACCGAGCTCAGGAAGTTGCAAATACCGCACCACGGCACGAGACCTAATACATATCCGAGGCCGTCTATAACAGCCCATCTCGTGGGGACAACAAAAAACAAACGTCCAGATCCTTGCCCATATTTCGGTATTCATCTACTATCACTCGATTCCACAATGACGTTGTGGGAGTCTGTATTTGCAGAACGAGGTGTTCCTAGTCCCCGGGGGACATTGTGAAGGAGCACCGAGGCTCTCGTTTTTGTGAAGAGTTTGAGGATGTATCGGGCGTGGTTCCCTTCAGCCGGTGTTTAGCACGGATACACACTCTCTCCGAAACGTCCAGATATCTCAAACGATTGGTGCTAGTAGTGGGCGGTCTTTTTTTGTCGAAGCCCGGATTGAGCACCTTCCAGTTCCTTTCTTTCCTACTGAGGATTTGGCCAGTGCCTGTCGGTGGTGTAAGGACCATGATACTTGTCATGTGAGAAATAGGTTATCCGGGGGTGGATAGCAATGCAATGTAGATTGTAAGGGAGTAATATAAGCCACGATATGATAGAATTCCGTTTGTATCATAATCTTGTGCAGTATGATACACTGCAGAAATCCTTCCTTTCCAATATCATAATATCGTCTCCGTAGTGGCGGCACGGAATACGATGCCAACTGTCACCATCTTGAGCATCCGATTAACTTGGCCTTCTACTCGTTGCTCTTCCTTCCTTCCTTCTTTCTACCCACAAACAAACAAAACAAGCAAACTGGGTATCACACAGTCGGTTCAGGCCACAGCACCACAAGGTCTTATCAATCGGGGGATATATAAGGTATCCCCAAAATCCATCACATAATGGCAAAAGTAGTTGGAAAAAAAATTTAAACCTCCTGGACCCCCCGAGCGCCCCGGCATCACGGGGGTAACGATTGACATCTTGCATATCGAATAGTGTGCCCATAATACTCTACTTTACTTTAAAATCGGAGTGAATTTAGAGATAGAGAGAGAGAAAACAAGAACTACACATACCGCATATTACGAAGTTAATTGTAAGGACCGCACTTGATCCTTCAAGATCGCCGTTCTTAACTTAGATATCATACGTTGGACACATATATTATACATATATACATACATACACGCGTGCTTATGATATAGCGATGGTGCTAAAGGTAGCGATATGAGTGATTTCCTGTGATGAGTGGCTAGGTTCTAAGTAGATCGTAAGTTACATTGCTTATCATACCCATACCTTTCCGAGGAACAGGTGGCATCATACTAACTGTATCATACTGTGTACTGTAGCGAGAGTAATAGGGCTTCAGGCAGATATTCGAACCTTTTGCCAGCATGATATCGCACGATAGTAAATATCCATACCTAACTAACCGATACCACTCAACATATTTCTACCCCATTTCTCCAGAGCAAATCCAGCAAGCCCGCAAGCATAGAAATAGGAAAAGCGCCGTTCACATACATAGTCTAACCGTATTCATACCAGGAAAGGGCCACGCCCACGGAAATATTCGGTCATCCCATCACCATCACAGCTCAGAAAGAACTTGCAGACAAAAAGGTTCCAAACCCATATTATCATTTTACTTTTGATTCTTGTCCCCCCCCTTTCTCTCCTATTATCATACCTCAGGAACTGCTGTCTGCATTCCTGAGCGCAAGAGGAGGAGTGTAATTCCAAGATTTGCCTTACTGTTGCTACTTATACGGTGATAGTGGCTAGGGCGTTTAATCTCCTATCATACGACGGTCCCCGCGGGGCAAGGCATATTTTAATCCCCCTCACTCCCCCACCTGCCAACTGTGGCAGGTCGCTCAATAGCTCAGGCTGATTGATTGGGGGTCGAAGGCTCGGGCACCCGTTAGTACGAGTACTGCGCCAACTACGCATTTCAACGTAATACCGGTATTGCTGTGGGAGCTTGTATCATACCGTACTACTCGATATGAACACTTATCCTAGGTGGGTTTCAGGTTTCCCCCGCCCCCGCTTGAGGCTACAAAAGCGGTAAACTATACATATCATACATATCACCAAACACCGAACGCATTATCATACGCTCGATAGCAGCAAAGACAAAAAGTTCATCGGTAACCGCCAAATACAGAAAACCCTTCTATTCACAGAGATGGCCGCAGCAGAAATATATCGATGCTAAAAAGAAAAAGAAAATCAAAGTAAAAAAAAAAAAGGGAGGGAGGTTCGGCAAGGAAAAGGAAAGACACTATTTAGAAGTGTATTGTATTTCAAATGAATTGTCTGAGGATATAAGGCACCATACTCACTATAGGGCGCAATAGCAAATTCCTAAAAGTGGAGAGGTTATTGGCGTCAAGAGCCACAAAGTGCAGCTGGTGTGATTGGCCATAGACTCTAATTATGACAGAGGTATCATAGCTGCTAATATAATCACCCGCTCGCTCGGCACTCGCTGCCTGGACTGACTAAATATTATAGCTCTAATAGTGCAGGTCCATAATATGTGGCCAGCGTTTTCGCTCGATATCTGTGATATCAATATTATATAGGGATAAATAAGGAGAGGGTATAAAGCACCGGACTCTCCCAGATTCATGCTGGGGAAACTTGTAAACCACCTAAGACTATCAGATACCAAGTTTTCCATCATAACCGCTCATATGGCTTGACCTCTTCCGGAATGTAAATATCCGGTCCAAGGATTCTTCATCATCCCTATATATTACCTCCACCCACCGGCCTCACCAGTACCACAATGCGTCGGGGTCCTAGGCTCCAATCTAGGTCCCTCAACCGGACCCATCACGGAGCGGAACGGGACGGATAGATGGCCGAGCACCGACAGCGCTTCATGGCCCTGTGCTATTTAGGTCGTTCTTAGAGAAGGAAACGTCTTCAGGTCACTCAGCGGTCTCCTGGGAGACCACAAGAATCCAAATTCCATTTGTAACCCGTGGATTGTGCTGTTATTTTCCCTCCCACAACCGCCGGTCCGCCATCGGCCATCCTTCTTGAGTAATGGTTTGTACGCCTGGAGCCGTGGAATTCGGGATTAAAAAAAAGTGATATATAACAACCGGCACCACCTCCAAGCCCAGCCCAATCTTTACCTACTCGAGCAGTGCACAGGCCAATAGTCGAACATCCCAACAAACCCAAGGGCCAACACGCCAACACACCCAAGAATACTCAAGTGTATAGGGCGATATAACAGGGCGTGTGTAGAAGCTCATTCTCAACCAATCCCTCCAGGAAACACCAGCCGCGGAACAGTGTACATCTAGCAAGACACAGCGAAAGAGATAGTAAACACATACCCACGAGTAATAAAGAATGAATAATAAAGACTTCCAAATACTAGTAACGGGGGCTAGGCCCTCCTTTCTAGGATAAGTGGAATCTCCGAGTTCAACACTCGTTGGATCCCGTGGGAAGGAGGACTGACTGTCTGAATGTGGACTCCAACAAGGCCAACCCTGCCCCGACCCGGCTCGCACTTAGCTAGGGAGGTGGTGCGCCAGTAGGTTGGCCACCAGCCATCCGCACCAATATATTTTGAGATATCGAGGAACCCACGATCCTATGGTCCACAATCGCAATAATCAATTATACCCCTCTCCCCCCAACAGCTCGCACAATTCTTGAACCGAGTGATATCTGTGATTCTCACATAAAATCACTCGTTGTAGTACGAATCTGACATTCAACCCCCTTTACGCACTGCCTGTATCCTCTCACCCTGAGCACAGCATTGCGCTACCAGTATGCTGCACAGGGAAGCGCTGCCTACTGCCTTGGAGAGTTCCCGTCTATCGCACATTCCTGAGTCGCAATCAAGCCCAAGAGCCCCTATCCGACAACCCACCCCACCGCATCGCCTCAATACGGTAAAAAATCCTGGGATCGCTCCCAGGATAGCCGCCGAAGTTGCGATAGCCTTGTAGTCAAAGACCTACCGGTATTATAACCTGCTGCATAGTTTCTAATCTTTCGAGAAAACATTTAAATCTGCTGGTGCCCCTCCCAATTGGCCAAGTGATATCAATACCATCCAAAGTCTTACCTCATTTCCCAGTGAACCACCATAGTGCCGAAGCGAGGGTACCGAAACCGTTGGTCCCCTCTTTTTCTTCTGGTAAACAGCTCTTCCCCTAAGACGCCAATGCTTGTCAGACGCGCTCCCCATTGGAATTGAGCCCGGCCGGAAAGGTGCTCCAGTTATTCCCGGTAGACTAATCCCCTTTTGTATTTCGCTGCCCCCTTCCCCTAGGGGCTGCAGCGAAACTGAAACAAAAATATGATTTGCTGACGCAGGTGGGTTTTTCCGACCGCCTGTCTGCTTCCCCACGCCACCCAAGATGAGGCATCGACACAAACTATGGCAACCGGTAAATGTTTGTACTTGTACGGTGTCGTTTTTTCGTTTTGGTTTTTGTTTCGTTTATTCGGGCTAATTTTATGGTTTGACGGGCGGTAGCGGCACTCTGCTTGCCGTCGTTATTAGTTGCTGCCCCGTTCCGATCAGGCTCGGAAGCTGGGCCGTTGGCGGGGGTTGGGCAGTCCAATGAGACGGGTGTGCTCGTGGGGAGGAGCTACTGTAGGCGAGTGAGTTGGAAATCCTGGGATTTGACAGAGGATAGTCTGTACTACGATTGGTAAGTGTTACCAGAATTTGAATTTGAGGATGGCAGGAGGATTTGTATTGGACTTACCCCTGAGGTTCTCCTTCTCCTTTTCACCTCTCATTCTCTGCTTCCCTTGAAATTGCTTCCTTCCCTCAAAATACTGCCGTTTGAGCCGCTACGGAATGCAGCACCAGAGCCCTCGGTCACAGCTTTCACCTCAACGTGTGGCTAGGGGTAGCCACAACACCACAGGAGCCCAACAAGCTCTCCAGGCCTGAGCAATTCTCTTGAAGGAAGACTTGATCCGTGAGAGAAAAACACCCTCCTTGAAATGGTCAGCAGGAACCTAAATATAAGCACGCCCCCGAAGGCTTAATATCATAGAAGGGAGCGGGGAGAGATTTAAGCTTTGTATGGCTGCCTGAACGCCTTTTGGATGCGAATCTGTGTAAGCACTACTGTACCAGTACCGGTATCCACGACAAATTCTCAGCCCCACCATATGCAGTATCGAGTTCTCTCCCTATCCCCCACCAACTTACGAGAGATGCACTCGCATGCGGGGGAAAAAAAGAAAGAGAGAAAGAACCATCAGAGTCTATTTTGGGCCATGCGGTTCGGGCGATTCCTTGGAGAGGGGAGAGGAAGTACGAGTACGGTACTCCTTGGTCTAGAAAAGGACTACGGTACATACCGTATGGAAAGGAGGAATAAAAAGCGCTCTGCAACCCTGACATCGAACATATCTCGAGTACGAGTACACAGCCCTACCATGACCATGTACATACCGGTATCTACTCGTTCTGTACAAGTAAAATATCTCTCGTATGCACCTTGCAAGGCGTGGCTCCTCCCTCCTCACAACCGCCGACAACACCACTTTAGTCTCCAGAAACATCAACATGTCCCAGTTTAAAAGTCTAGTGTGAGATTCGCTTAGATGAAGTGCCGGTCCGGGGGGTCCCGACACCAGCGTTGTGTCCGCAGCTAGCAGCTGCCTTTATTATTTCCTTTTTCTCCGAAAAAAGTTTTTACTGTTATGGCTCGCTTTCAGCTGGATCGATTCTTTGTCAGGACGGGGGATCAGCGGCTGAAGACTGCACCAAACATCCAATACGATACGCAAGAGGGTAAAAGTGGCTTCTATATGTGCCTGTAAGATCAGCGACTCCGGGAAGACAAGGGTTTACGGACTCTAGATCTCGAGTGTCGGCTAGAAGGAAGGCAGAATCATAGACTAAGCACGTTATAATTACAATCTGGCATGTCGACGAGTTCACGGAGGGCCTTGCAGAGTACTAGTGCTGTGCCGTACCTGACGATGCCGATACAAGGGCCAAAGCAATTCGTAGCCTTGCGAGTAACTTACCATAAGGCCTTTGTGCCGGCCCAGCCATGGCCTAGGGTCGCCAGCTACCGTATCAGTCAGTACTTGTGCCGGTATGGCCCTTGCACATAGCGCGCTCCATCGTGGAGAAATGAGTCGAAGAATATTGCCCAACGGGTACGGTAATACTGTACCGGTACCGTATAATACTTCCCAATTGTCCACATTAAATATACCGCACATGTCCGTCCAGTGTGGCTCCGTCGAGTGTGGCTTAGTAAGGGAGCGGCAGCCGCATCGCCAGGTTAAGCCAAAAGTGTCGGGTGCTAAGGGCACAATAGGTGAGGCGAAGGGGGTCCGATTGGCTCGCAGGCCGCCACTTTGGGCCTTGGGCCACTCAGAGAGCAGTGCCGGTAGTCTACCGTTTACCAGTCCCAGTATGATACCTCGGAGCCACTTTGGCAAGAGTACCGATGGCCTGGCGGGTCCGCCTGTCTCTACTCCACCGCGAGAAAAAAAGGCCAAGATTGACCCTTCGTCCGGTTACACTCACCAAATTTTGTCTAGCAAACTGAAATCACCCCACTTATGGTACGCTCACCCCCTAGCGGGTTGACCCTGTCCTCTGGACTGTCAGCATTGAAAGGCTGTTCTGCTCATAGGCCCCAGGATACTCGTACAGCGAAGTATAATATGCCCCGCACCGGTACTCGAGCGTTTTGGAGAGGAGGCCTGATGGAAGAGGTGGAGTCAAAAGAGGAGTGCAGATATTTAGCTGGAGCTCTCGCTGTTCGTGCAGTGTACCGGTATTACCGTCCGTATGGAGAGGTGCAAAATTTAGATCCCTCATCTTGTCTATCGATAAGGATTATTTTCTCCGCAGTTTACACAGCCAATCGCCACGGATATCCGTCGTGCGATATTCGTTGTCAACGACACCAAGAGTTTGCTAATGCAAATAACGAGAGCGGGGGGGAAGTTCAGCAGAGGCCGCCGTCGAGCCACAACAAAAATGGGCGGAGAAAACTATACTCCGCAGAGATGGGTAACAGACTCTAAGGTCACCGCACTTCTCCAAAATGTGGCATAAGTAGACAAGGAATTACTGGTAGATAGTTGCTGCGTGATGGGTACCACACTACGTTCAAATGACAAACTTTACCCCAGCAGGTTCATTGTGCAGAGTGGTCCACTCGCACCAGCTGGCCCACGATGTCGGACAGGTGGGGCTGCAACCTCCCTTGACATCCTATCAGGTTAGAGCAAGTAAGGCTGGGTGTGCCACACTGCATTCTACAGTACTCGTACAGGACGAGGTTGCTCCTCTGACAGGGCGTTGCTCGACTTTCCCCCCCCACCCCCTTTTAACTTAGGATCCAGCTGACAGCATCTATCGAGCGAGTGATCCTCGATTTCTCGACATTATGGAAGCACAAGGCGTATCTCGTGGAGCTCGATAGTTTGCTGGTGGCTACTTTGTCGTCTGTATGATATCCCATTTCCCCCTCCTTGCTACATAAAACTCTGCCGGTGCGGGCACGGGAGTCTATCGTGCAAATACGGTGCAGGTAGTCTAGTAAGCTTTCTCGATCAATGCCTGAAGACCCGAGACGCACTTGCAAGGATATCGGTAAGTTGCCAGCTCGGCGAGTCGATAAAAACCAAAGTTCATCACCGCTCTACCGTACCGTATTCGACCATACTCGGGGAGAGCGTGCGGCTGAGACCAAGAAAGTAAGCATCAAAAAATTATGGACCCATGCGAGGGTGCAGGGAGGTGATACCGCATCATAACAACAACAAAGCAATTCGTTCATTCTGGTCAGCAGCAGCACAGACAGATTGTGGCGCATGCTGTACATACTGTCCCTTGGCAACGGACGAGTGGCAAGGGAAGAGATTGGAGCGTCCTCCAAGAATAGATTTTCACCCAAGAGGAATGGGTAAAATGTGTTGGAATTCAGCTAGATGGGTAGGTTAGGTGATTGCTACTCGTACAGTATCATTTGTTTTCGCTTGTTTTGGGGGTACGGTACGTGCACAAGGGCTTGCCGAGTGGCTTAGCGCAGGTGCGAGAATGGCACGGTTACTGTACTCGAGTACGGTACAATGCTGCCAGCAGAGTGAGGGTGGGAGCAGGGTTCACTACCACATGGGGTGAGGATTTCGATGGGAAAGCAACCCTTGGATTGTAGCCACAGCACTTCTGGAAGGAGCGTAACGCGCGAATCCAGTGGGCGAAGCCCGCCAAAGCGCTTCTTTACGAAGATGGAAGAGAGGGAAGAGGGTAAAGTACGGTACTCGAGTATCGTACTGACTGGTACCATACGGTAAGCTAGCCTAACGAGACGCTGCCCCATCCCCCATCCCCCCTGTAAAGGGCAATGGGCTTGGAAAGCCCAGAATATGCACGAGTGGAATCGGAAAGCACTTTATGAGGATTAGGAAGGAAAAAAAGGGAAAAAAGAAAACAAAAGAAAGAGAAAAAGGAAAAAGCAAAAATAAATAAATAGGGAAAAAAGGAAAAGGGTGTTGGCTGGTCCACTACTCACGTTTCAGAGGGGAGAAAAGAAGCCCTTGCGGCACTGCTTTTAACAACTCGTGGGCCTCCTCCTCAGACCTCTCCTTCTTTTCTTCTTCCCCTTCGCTGTTTGCTCTGTCCCCCTCCCAGAGTTGTGTTATCTCCGCTCTGCTGAACCCATCCCATCTCTCTCTCATATTACTAGCCTCCTCCCCCAGAAAAGAGAGGATAGGGAGACAATTCTCTTTCTGCTCCATTCCTCACTTGGCGATAATTAAAGGACCCTCCACCCCCTGAATTCCCCTGCCCTCCAACCTCCTCTCAAGGGTAAAATTTCATTAGCCCCGAGAGCTTCGAGGAATCCCACGTGAGGTAAAACAGCTCCATTTTCTCCTTACGGATCTTGTGCAGCGGGAATCTACACAATGTCATATCAGGGCGGGAATCCCCAACCCGGTCACAATGATGACCATACCCAGCAATACCCTCCCTCTACATACCATATGCCCCCTCCCAGAGACTACGACTCCGACGACGACCAAGAACGAGTCCCCCTCAACACCCAGCAACAACCAGGTGGACCCTTTCAGGCACCGTTTGACGATCCCATGAGCCGCTCAACCACCCCCGGTGGTTCTCAACGCCCCAACACTGGGTATTCCCTCTCCGAGAGCTATGCTGGAACCCCGGGAGCCGGCACATACGATAGCGGGCCGGGCTATCCCACCGGAAACGACCCGAATCCTCAATACGGAGCTCCTCGCGTAGCTAGCCCTTACGCTAGGTCTGATAGTTCTTCCACCGAGGCCTGGCGGCAGAGACAAGCTCCTTCCGGAATGCGGCGTTATGCTACAAGAAAGATCAAACTTCAGCAAGGTCAGGTTTTGGCTATTGACTATCCGGTGCCATCTGCAATCCAGAATGCAATCCAATCCAAGTACCGGGCACCTGATGTCGAGGGCGGTAGCGAGGAGTTTACTCATATGAGATGTAAGTAACAAAGCCCCCGTCCATCAAAGGGGTGTTTGTTATCACAAAGAATCCGGCCAATGCTAAATTGGCATGACAGACACTGCCGCAACTTGTGACCCTGATGACTTTACACTCCGAAATGGGTACAATCTGCGGCCGGCTATGTATAACCGACATACCGAGCTGCTTATTGCTATCACCTACTACAATGAAGACAAACAATTGACTGCTCGTACGCTTCACGGCGTCATGCAAAACGTTCGTGACATTGTAAACCTTAAAAAGTCAGAGTTCTGGAACAAGGGTGGACCTGCCTGGCAGAAGATTGTTGTTTGTCTCGTCTTCGATGGTATCGATCCTTGCGACAAAGACACTCTCGATGTCCTCGCAACTGTCGGCATCTTCCAGGACGGTGTCATGAAGAGGGACGTTGACGGCAAAGAGACTACTGCACATATTGTATGAACCCCCCCCCAACCGTTTTTGCAAACTTTTTAACCATCCTGCAGTTCGAATATACCACACAATTATCCGTGACAGCCTCACAGCAGCTGATTCGTCCTCGTGATGATGATCCATCATGTCTCCCACCCGTGCAGATGATGTTCTGTCTAAAGCAGAAGAACTCCAAGAAGATCAACTCTCACAGATGGCTGTTCAATGCCTTTGGCCGTCTTTTGAACCCGGAGGTTTGTATATTGTTGGATGCTGGTACCAAGCCCGGCGCAAAGAGTATTTTGGCTCTGTGGGAGGCTTTCTACAACGACAAGGACTTGGGCGGTGCTTGTGGTGAAATCCACGCCATGTTGGGTAAGGGAGGAAAGAACTTGTTGAATCCACTTGTGGCTACCCAGAATTTTGAGTACAAGATCTCAAACATTCTTGACAAACCTTTGGAAGCTGCTTTCGGATACGTCTCTGTGTTGGTAAGTTTTTGTCCTGTGTTCTGGGGGTTTATGCTAATTCTGACTTGCGATTAGCCCGGTGCTTTCTCGGCTTATCGTTTCCGTGCCATTATGGGCCGTCCCTTGGAGCAATATTTCCATGGTGATCACACTCTATCTGCTCGCCTTGGAAAGAAGGGTATTGAAGGCATGAACATTTTCAAGAAGAACATGTTCTTGGCCGAGGATCGTATTTTGTGTTTTGAGTTGGTTGCCAAGGCCGGATCCAAATGGCATTTGACCTACGTCAAGACCTCGAAGGCCGAAACCGATGTGCCAGAAGGTGCTCCCGAGTTTATCTCCCAGCGCCGCCGTTGGCTGAACGGTTCTTTCGCTGCTAGTATTTACTCCTTGATGCATTTCGGGAGAATGTACTCTAGTAGTCATAGCATCATTCGGATGATCTTCTTCCATGTCCAGCTTGCCTACAACGTCTTCTCTGTCATCATGTCATGGTTCGGTTTGGGTGAGTATCTCCGAAGGTCTAATTCAAGAGTCAAGGTTAACGATTGCTAGCCAATTTCTGGCTCACCACCACCGTCATTATGGACCTCGTCGGCGACCCAACTCAGGCAGAACGTGATAACGGCAGAAAACCATGGCCCTTTGGCGAAGGAACTCGCATCTTTAACACCATCTTGAAATACCTTTATCTCGGCTTTCTCCTGCTCCAATTCATCTTGGCCTTGGGCAACCGACCAAAAGGGTATGCCGCAGTTCTATCGCCTGTCCCGATTAGATACTGACATGGGTTTATACAGTTCACGTTACACTTATCTTGTCTCCTTCGTTGTCTTCGGTTTGGTCCAGTTCTACATCATCATCCTCTCGTTCTACCTCGTCATCCAGGCGTTCTCGAACTCGGAAGGTTGGGACGAACTCAAGTCTGACAGCTTAAGTGGCTTTATCAAGAACTTCTTCACCGCCAACTCTGGTGTCATCATCATCGCTCTTGCAGCAACCTTTGGTCTCTACTTTGTGGCTTCGATCATCTACCTTGATCCTTGGCATATGATTCACAGTTTCCCTCAATACTTGCTCACTGTGTCTTCATACATCAACATCCTCAACGTTTACGCTTTCAGCAATTGGCATGACGTTTCCTGGGGTACTAAGGGCTCTGATAAGGCTGATGTACTGCCATCTGCAAAGACGCAGGTCGCTGAGGACGGTAAAGCAAAAGTCATTGACGAGCCGGATAAGCCGCAGGCGGATATTGATCAAGCTTTCGAAACAACTGTTAAGCGTGCTTTATCACCTTTTGTCCCTGTGGTTGAAGACGAGAAGAAGACACTTGACGATTCGTACAAGTCTTTCAGAACCAAGCTCGTCAGTTCTTGGATCTTTATGAATGCTGGTCTCGCTGTTATCATCACCTCGGACAATTTTGATTCTTTTGGATTCTCGGTAAGTTTCCCTGTGGTGATTGAGCAAGTGCACGGACTAACGATACCCATAGAAACAAAATGCTGCTGCCACCAGAACTGCCAACTACTTCAAGGGTTTGCTATGGGCTACCGCCGCGTTGAGTTTTGTTAGATTCTTGGGATGCTGTTACTTCCTTGGAAGAGCGTCCATTCTCTGCTGCTTCGCGAGACGTTAAGAGGGTCGGGTCGCGGGCACGGATATGGTGGATTTGGCTGGGTGAAAAATGTGCGGCGGGCCCGTACCGCACACACCTGGGAGGGGGTGGGATGGGATGGCTAGCATTTTGTACATTGAGGGTGATGATATCCAATGGGTGCATGGAAACGGAGGGGGTAACGCGAGTGATCGCCATCATATATCTCTTTACGATTTCAACGGTTTTTCTTAATTAAAGGTTTCATCATTTTTTCCCTCTTATTCATCGCAGACTTGATGGGTGGATTCTCTCTTACTCTATCTCGGTTTTGTACTTTACCTATGCCAAAATGCGACACCCATGCGCACTGGATAACTTTTGGAAGGGGGCTCTTTTTGTAATGATGGTCCCGGGTATATATATATATATATATATCCACCAGTTTTTTGTGCATTTCTTTCTCCGCTTGACCTCAGCAGTGGCTGATGGGTGTCGCGAGTTTTATTTTACCGTATTAGAAAAGGCGGGGAAGAGCAAGGGAAAAAGGTGCCTGGTCCGGACCATGATTCATCGGCATTGACACCACTGTACCGTTAGACATCTTCCGGGTCGGGCGTGTTCTTTGAAGGGTTCTTGACAGCGGTCATTTCAGGTCACCGCCACTAAACTTAACATCCCGAAGCAGCTATCATATGATATCACCCCAACAGCCGCAACGGACAGGACGGGTAGGAGAGTTTCAGGTACCGGTAGGGTAAGATGACCTATGATATTCCACGATTCGTCTACGGGGGAGATGCGTAGGAGGAGAAATGAAGCCAAACAAGGGAAAGGGGAAAGGGGAAACTAAAATCTATCACCAGCGCTCGCTCGCTCTCTTTTATCTCCACAGTGTGTGCATGTGTCCGTGTAGCCCCCTCAGACACCGCCCTCCCCTCCAAGAATGTCAACCACAATTGAGAAATGTCCGCATCTGTCACCGTAGGCCCCGGTGCGCCGATGTATGATATCATAGCATAGAACGAGAAGTAAAGACTTGGGGAAAAGGGGGGGGGGTAAGGTATTGGAATGAATGACTGTTATGGTATGATAAATTCCGCACGACATGAGTTTAAACCGGTATCATAAGAGACCATATCTTTATAGTTGGTGACATCTGACCGTTGGCGGTTGCATTTCCTATCACATGATATCGTACCAGGGAAAGAAGAAAAACAATAATCGGTTTTTAAAACTTTTTGAGATCTGGAGAGAGAGGGGAAAATCGGACTAGCATTATACCAGCACAGACAGTACCCGTCCCCACCGTTCCCCTTGAGCCATGATACGATACCATATCATTATTATATATAAAAAATACTCCCCCAGGCGCTTAAATCCCAGTTTTCTGCACGGTACTTTTTATGGCATGAAGTGAAGTTTGTGCAAGTATGATATGATATTTATGACTGCACTGTGCAACGTTTTCCGTTTCTCCCTTTTTTTTTTGCTAAATGGATGAATGAATGAATGACATAATTGTGGTGGTGGTCTTCGGCATGTGCGTATCGATTGTGGGACTTTGATATCATACTGGTGATTATCAGCTCACCTTCCACCGCTCTGCGCTGGTGAACTCGAGATGTTGGGTGAGGATGCAAGTTTAGCAGGCCAGTTCGTGGCTTTTGGAGGTGGGGTTTTGTTGTCTTTCTGTCTGTCTGTCTGTCGCTTTCTGGTTTGTTTGTTTGTTCCGCCCGGGCGGGTTCTGGAAGCTCGATTTGTATGTGCTCATACTTGTATTATTATCGTACTGTACCTTACTGTATGTACTATAACCATCGGGACATATTCTCGAGATGCCAAGAGGTTTGAGTGGATGGACTGGCTGTTCATCCAGGATTTTGCGGTGATTCCGAGCGAGAATTCCTGGTTATGATATTCGTCTGGACAGTCCATTACGGTATCACGCTGGTCTGTATCATACCCTTCCAGGCTCCTACTGTACTGTGCCAGTACTGTACAGCCAGTTAGGGGGGATTCAAAGGTATGATACAGGTGTTCCGGTAGAGGTGTATTTTGGGGGAAATAGGGTACATAGCAAACCCTCCTTGGGGAGGAGGGATGTAGTATACCGGCACAGAGGTATGGTCATGCTATTCAAGCAGTATCATACACTTACCTGTACTTGCGGGGTATATTGTACACTCGGTTCCCGGCGTACTTGGAGCTTTGAACCTTCCCTAATCTTATATATTAAAATTGCAACAGCACAGTGCGTTATTCCAGCCGAAAATTCACAGTGCAGGGAAGGAATTCCGCCTCTGACTGTCCCCACTCACTTTACTCGCTCGCTCGCCCGATCTTATCAAAGGCATTCATTCATTCCTAATTCCGTAATCATGACTTGGCCAGTTTTCATTGAAGTGTATGATAACTGTATTATGTATGACACGATAATGGGAAATGAGCAGATTTCCCAGCTCCATCATTGTGAGGGTAAGATACCATATCATACAGCAGTATCAGTCTCCATATCACACCCGAACGCAGCATTTCGGTGAATAGGAATGAATGAATCTGTGATGGGGTTTTATCTAACAAGGCGAGCTCTAGTCGCTCATGTCCAAGTTTTATTCCACCATTTCTGGCATGGTTTGACGACAACAGTATATCACACGATGGACGACCTGACCGACCGACTGTGAGCTACCTCCCGGAACAATAGGGTGATAATGGTGGATGAGTGTCTGGCGAAGGCGAGGGCGGATGAGTACTGCACCGTACCGTAGGCAACCGAGGTGTTTTATATGAAATGCGCCCCGCGTGCACCGGTGCATATATATATATATATATATATATATTAGCTTACCGAGCGAGCGAGCGAGATTACGGCACCAGAGCACCGTAGATACCCGCAGAAACGATGGGGAATCATTAAAGTCCAGACGGTTCTAGGCCCGGACTACGGTAGCGATATTGCTCGCACTGGCAACCCTCGTATCATACATACCCGAACGAGTACCGTACTCTACATATAACGATGGAAAAAGTAAGACATGGATGATCATGTACATACCGGTATACTACCCCCAAACCAATCTCTTGAAGGTTCATGTGTAGATCACCCTTCTCCCCCCCCCTCCTCCCCTTCCAAGCAACTCAAGAAAGAAGGTGAGGAAGATGTAAGTCCTCCAGCGGAAGGTAATTTACAGTACTGCACCGTACCCTACAGTACCAGACCCACGACGCAATAACAGTACGGTAGCGAGAATCATCCGAAACTCCGTGGGGGGGGGGGGAGGCGAAGTAGACCCACCCAAGATCCCGTGTGCGATATTAAGGGGTATCATACAGTATGGTACGTTTGATCGACTTGCAACAAGGGGGGGGGGGGGTACAAGTATGTAAATGAAACATTAGTCATGTATTCTCACTCGGTTTTTGTTTTCGGGAGGGAATAATGGTGGTGGGATGAGAGCGCCTGTAGACTATGGCGGGTAAATTTATGATACCGTAGATTTATCGATACCCGCTCTCGCGACGACTTTCACAATGTATGTGGTTGCAAAAGTGGTTACGACGTGGATTGTTTGGGGATGGGATATTATATCATAATTATGGTATGGTACAAGTACCCTAAACATACCGGCATTTGGTATCACTGGTTTTTCTTTTTCTCTTTTTTTTTTCTTGAGAGGGCAAGGGGAAGAAGGGGAAGGGTGAACCTTTTGAAAGTTTCGTGAGAACTTGGCGCAACGCTTAAATTTAGTTTATGCTTAGCTTAGATTCATAGGGCTAGACCAGACCAGACCAGACCCGGACCAGAACACGTGCCAGGGTTGCATTCCTTATGTAGCATCCACGCATGAAAGCTCACTCGGTTATTTTTTGATTTTTCTTTTCACGCCGATGGCCCGGATTGCTAACGCTTCTACCGGTACTCGTATCATGTGCATATCACATACTCTGAACCTTACAGCACGATCTACCCTTTCTCGAGAAGGTCCGGTCCTATGATAGTGCTCACACAAGTACTCGAGTGCTGTACTCGAGTGCCCTGGAGAACTCGTTCTTCCCCCCACCGGAGCGATGACCGTTGTCGCTGGTCCAATAACACCACGGAGAAGAACTCGTCGCACCATCCCCTCGTCATTTCCGTGATCGCCAAACGGTCCCTCACGCCCGGGTTTTTGTTTTCGTTTCGTTTCGCGGAAGTGTGGTTTCCGTTCCGTGGTTTGTGTGGTGGTGCAGACGGTAGTGGTCTCATGACGGGGTGGATGTGAGTGAGCAATTGCCGTGTTTGCGCATCCTACATTAACTTACCCCACAATTGTCCGTGGTATGGTACTGTACTCGTGCAGTACCGGTACCGTGCTGTACCGGCACAGTATGGACCTCTATTTTTTCTTCTTCTTTCTGCGGTGGTGCAGGGTAAATTTATGTGTGTTTATGTCTTGTATCATGCTTGTATTGTACCAGTGCTGGTACGAGTACTTGGACAAACACAAGAACCTCCACACCCTCCTCTCTCCGTCTATAAATATAGAAATTTTTTTTTCCTCCTTTTCGTGCTCTGCCTGGATCATGAATGGGTACAGTGCCGGTGCTCGTAGAGTGCTTGCTCGGTGTGTACTACGGTTATGCCCACTAGGATTGGGACAAAATGCAGATTCTGAAACCGGGTCTTTGGGTATCATACCTGCTGCCCTCTCTCTCTCTCTCTCTCTCTCTCTCTCTCTCCGTCTCTAGCTCCATCTCGCTCTCTCGGGTTTGCGGCCCTTGGTAAGGTAGCGAGCGAGCCACTGCAAGAGCGAGAGAGAGCAAAGTGTCGAGAAATGGTAAATTTATATCAAGTTAGTCTACACCGATATTGAACGTGTGTCAATCCCGGAAGCCGCCAACCTCCGTTCTCCATCCGGGGTTCATTCATTCATTCATTCATTCATTCCCCTCCACACACCCGGCACCTACGGTATTTACCATACCTCTCCCAAGTACTCGTACAGGTTAATAAGTTATTTACCTAATACCGAACATGCACAAGCATGTGAACAGAATAGAGTGAGAGACGACGTTCCCTTCCGTCTCTGTCTCTCCCGCGCGTGATAATGTATGTGCTCATGCTCTATTGTATTCTCACGAGCAAAACGGTATTTTTTGATACAGATTCTGTTTTTGCCCCCCCCCCCCCCCCTTCTCCCCCGCTCCTGTTGTGGTATGTCTGGCCTTGCAAAGAGGAGGAGGAGGAGGAGGAGTGATTCTCCATACCGTGCTCGAGAATCCCCCTTGCCAACTTAAATTGTGCAGTAGCACCGGTATTGTGCAAGTAGTAATATGATACCCCCTGCACCACAACCACACCGTTATTTCGATTGTCATGCGAATTTGCCAAGGAACGGGTGGGTGAACGAGTGAAGGGATTTATTCATTTGATGGTGGGTGGGTGAAAGGGGCCGGTTGAGTAAGTAAGCAAATGGAGAGCACGAGTACTGAACTGTACTGGAGTACCGGTATTCGTAGTACCGTACTCTAATGCCTTGTTCCTATGGGCATGCCTGTCTGGCACGCACCGAACCTGCTGGCCGGATACATATCAGCGCTAGCGTGCTAATTACCGGTGCAGTACGAGTACAGTACAGTGCCGTGCCGGTACTCGTGCTTCCCGTGGTATCTTCTTTCTTTCTTTGTTTCTTTCTTCCTTTCTTTCCTTCTTTCCGTCTACGAATCTCGTATCGCATCATCATGCCAGTATAGTGTAGTTAATGCTTGTAAGTGCTGGAGGAGGACGCATCACAATCAAACCATAGAAAAAAGGTCACGATGGTGAACCTTGGACTAACCTTCACTTGACAACGCACAACAGAACCTTCATTTCATACCCCGAGACATGCATTTGCACCCGCGATGGATGGACCCGCACTGTAGTATGATACCGTGCCTGCCTTACTCACGATTTAGGGGCTGATACCCAATACCCCCCCATAATGGTCCAAATAGAAGCCCGCAATGGTTCGTATTGTAATTCGCTACCGACGTGCGTATGATATGGTATTTGTCGTGGTTGGTTGGTTGGTTGGCATCAAAATCATTTTACGAGCATTCTTTCCAATCCGAGCACGCTCATTTCTTCAACCGACTCAACTTTTATTATTAACTTAACCTTGAGTCGGCTGTGTTGTGTGTGTGTGACGCGGGTACAGTGGACCATATTTTTTTTTTCGGTTTATCTATTTATTTATTTATTTATTATACTCGTACTTTTGTGGCGATCGTTCGTTCGGTTCAGCTCGGGGTGGAAAGGGGTAATTTACAGGAACGGGAACGGGTACTGTACGATGGTATTTTTATTATTATTATTATTATTTATTTTTAATGAAAAAAAGGAGTAAGCGGAGGAGGGAGGGGTTTAATTGAACTTGTCTGCTTGTGCTACCGTACTTTTTACTGTACTCGAGTACTTGTATCATACGAGTGCTTCTCTAATAATATTATGGATGCTGTACCAGTATTGCACTGCGGAGCACTATACAGTACGGTACGGTTCAACTGCGTCAGGAAAGTTCTCAGGCTCTCCTTTTTTTCCTTGTGCCCCGAGAAATAAAATATGCTCGTAGTATCGTACGCACCACCAACAACAACAGTAGGGTAGGGCAGGATCCTTCTGGATGACTTTTCCCTCGGATGTGTTTCTAGGGTACCTACCACGATTTGCTTCCGACTGAATAACAGAGAGAGAGAGGGGGATGGCAGAGTGTTTACGGAGGCTACCGGTAGTAGCTGGTAGCACTTGGGGAGTCTACCGGTATGGGACGCAGCTGAAGTACGGTAGTAACTGGCTGTTGGTAATAGTCTCCAGACACCTATCCCTGCAACCCCACCATTTCGGCCTTCGCGCGATGTCCCAGCCTTTCGATCTTGGGGGGGAGGTTCCCTTCTCTCTTCCATGGTGGGGTATACGTACGAGCAGTGCCGGTAGTTGGTTTGTGCCACCGTATATGCTCCTTCACATACAACTCGTTAACATATCGACCATGATGATCCCCTTTACTCATGTTTCCGCGGTTCTGGCTCCTGTTCCGGTTCCGGTCCGGGTGGTTAGTGTCGGCTTCGGCCCATGGGGGGCTATTCTTCGGGGGTTGAGGCCGCTGATGGGTACTCGTACTATACTGGTACGCTATACGGTATCGTACGGCATGCTTTGAGAAAGATGGATGGGTGGGCCCGTGTTTTTGCGCAACACGCACTCGTGATGTGTGCTATCCACGGGTTTCCGGTGGAGCGAATTTGACTCCGCAGATTCTTGTTCGCTTCGAATGGAGGAGGCATTCAATCATTCCTGTTATAAAAATAATAATCTTCCGAGTGGGTGAGCGAGCAAGTGAGTGGGTGAGTGAGCGATTGTGTGTGGCTTATTTATTGGTTGATTGATGGGTTAATGCGTGGCATTGGTGTGCTGCCGCGCAGCCGAGTAAGGCCGCAAGTGCTGTTACTGGTATGTGGGTGCTATTATGTACTAGTACTCGGATACTCGAGCACGAGTGGCAGGTGGGCAATTATTTGAAAGAAGAAGTGGCATCCTATATACCGGTAGTATAGTATGATATTTGCTCGGGGGGGGGGGGTTCGGCTTCGGTTGGTACTTGTACAGTACTCGAATCGACGGGCTGAGGGAGGAGTGCTGGGCGGATGGAGGGCTGAGATATCGGTAGTGATAGGGTATGAAGATGGTGTGGGGGAGGTGATGGAGGTACCGTGCCGTACTGGGTACGAGTACTATGGGAAAATGGTGTGAGTGAATACTGTACTGTACAGTACATGTACTCGAGTGCTCGTACCGTACCGTAGGGCTTTCAAGAATGGGCAAGGGAAGAGAGGTGGCACTCCTCGAACTCGAATGGGTCGGATCACTTACGGTAACTCCAGGCTGGAGGGGGCGTTGCGGCCGCATCTCACCGGGGGGGGGGGGGACACCACGAAAGTAGTAACCGGTGGTACCGCAGGGTACTTTACAAATAGCACTCTGTTGGTGTGGAGTGTAAGGTACATGTACAGTACAGTACAGTACTTGTACGGTACGAGGGGACTTGGGCAACTTTTTAAATTGCTAAAGAGTGCACCGGCTACTGGTACAGCGGTCTTTGTGGTGACTGGAATGCGGTGCTCGAGTATCATTGTGAATACCGCAGTGAACGCTTATTATTGTTTGCTGACAGGGCGGATAAATTGGGCGGGATTCATCCCTCTCTCTTCTTGGGCACCATGTTGCACCTTTTTTTGACAGGAAACAGGCAAGGGAGCACCCACCCACCCACCCAACAACTCCTGGATAAGCACACACACACACGACCACCCTTACCTGGAACATTGTAGGTGTGGAGCCAGATATCTCCGTCTCATCTCCCGTGAACGAGCCCAACCCGGGCTGCGAGAGCGGAGTCGCCCCAGCAAAAGGGTGGACAGCGAGCAGCGCAAAGTTGCAGCACGGTATTGTACCAGCACGAGTACGCTATGGTATGGTATTTTGCTCGATAATACGAAGTATACATGGGCGGGAAGAGAGGGGGCGCATCATTGGTGGGGAGAGGGGAGGTTGGAGATAGGCTACCAGTGGTCAACACCTCTGGAAAGTGAAGAATTGAATGATAGGCCACGATTCAACGGTGCCTGGCATGCAGAAAATTGGGTGCATTGTCTTGTCCGGAAAGTCATCCCAATTGTATGGGGAGACAAAAGGAAACCGCATTCTGGTTGTGCCATCCTACAGAACCTCACAATCAATCCACTCGTACCTGTACCACCCACCTTCAACCACCCACCTCCTCCCCCCCCCCCCGGCTCGCTGCTGCTGTTAAGCCTCTTTGCCCTTCTGACCAGTCTCTTTTCTTTCAAGTACCAGTACTTTACTGGTACCGATATTTGGTCCACCATATCATGTGGGTTGTCAACTCCTTCCCTTTCCCTTTCCTCCCCCCCTTCCCCTTCGCTCTCTTCACCCTCCCACCTCCCCACCCTCCCTCCGTCCATTCGGTCGCTTGCTCGTTCTTTTACTTGTACCTCTCCCACCCCCCCCTATAAGTTAACGGCTATTTACGACTTTCGTTTGTTGTTTTTAGTTGGTCCATCATTCCGACGAAAGGGGCGAATTGGGGAAAGGGGCAAGAAAGAAAGAAAGAAAGAAAGGGAGGGAAAGAGGATTTCATGAGTTCTCGACACTGAATTGCCGTTATTCAACTCGAGAGTCCTTCTCTCTCTCCCCCATTCTCCCATTCCTACGGTACTCTCCTGCCTGCCTGGGTTGGCGTGGTCAAGGTTATCTCTCTCTCTCTCTCCACAAGCATCGGTTGTCACGGGGATCGCTCAAGGAAGATTGGACTAGCTGGTTTCCACGCAGCGAAACCGCCCAAGATCTCTTCCAGCGAGCCAAAAAGCCCCCAAAAAGGTCAGTTTTACTCGCTCGCTTCTGTCACTCCAATTTCCTTTTACTATTCCACTTTTGCATGCACGCGTTTGCTCTTCCCCCATCCCTGGCCCAATCAACGGTTATCCCTTCTCTACCGCTCCCAATCCCGCACACACACACACACTCACCCATCTTCGCCATCTCCTAAACTCCTTTTCCTTTGTTTCCCTCCTTTCCCTCTTTTCTTCCCCTTTCCCTTCCTTCCTACTCCGTCAACCATAAACCCGCCCAGCCCCATCCACCAGCCCACTCATTCGCTCACCCCTCCTTCCTCCCTCCACCTGACTGGTCCAGTCATCTCACGCTCTTTCATTGATTGTTTTCTTCTTTCTCGCCGCCGCCGGACGGGCTCCCTCATTTCTTTTACGCTTCCTCCCCTTCCTTCCTTCCTTCCTTCCTTCCTAACCCTACGCTCATTCTTGTAGGTCTTGAATCTACAGCCGCTCCCTTTGTTTTTGTTCTTTTCCCCTCTTGTTTTGGCTTGTCTCTCTCTTTTTACTTTCATCTTGCCGTTCCCTCATTTTAATAATTCCTCCCCAAATAGAGACTCGGAAGCCCAACCTTTTTTTCATTCTTGAACGGTCATGACTTTGCCACGCCCGCTCCTCTCGCTCGTCCTGGTACTTTTGCTCCAATCACTCACGACATCTGCAGCTTACACTCCAGGTGAGCTCCCTTTTGCTCCACTTTATTGTTTGAGGGGTAAGAGATCATGAACTCTCAACTGATTGCCTGTGAATATAGGTCCGGGTCACGATCTCTTCGCACGACAAAACCCAAACTGCGTCAGGGACTGTCAAGTTCCTCCGTGTGTGTGTGCTTCGAATCAGTACTGTGCTCTGACCGTCCAGACGTGCGATGCATGTCCAAAGGCGACCTGTACCGACGTCCAGGGTAGCGACAGCGGTGGTGATGACGACGATGGCGGTTCCTCTTCGCCGTCTGTTGGGCCGATTGTGGGAGGGGTGTTTGGAGGGTTGGCAGCGGCGGGTATAATTGGGTTTTTGCTCTACAGGACGTTTATCAGGAAGAAGAAGCAGGAAAGGGTTTCAATGGCCGCAACGGCTGCGGAAAAGGAGAACGATTTTGGGATGTTGAAGAGCGCTAGGGTAAGCCCACTTGATGTCCGTGCTTTTTATATATGACGTTCTAACGGCTGCTCAGGCGTCGACCCATACCGTTGCTTCGATCGCATCCACCGTTCGTACCCGTGCATCAAACGTCATCCAGATCGCCTACATTCCTGGTGTCACCAATCGCTCAGGACCCTCTACACCATCCCATTTGGCTCCTCCACCTGTTCCGCCTCTCCCGGGTTCGCCCGCGACTTCGCAATATCCCCGATCCCCATTGGCTGGCGACCTTCAATTTTCCGCCGACGATATACTACGTGGTTCCATGTACACTGTCAATGATAACAGGTCGTCCGTCGCGACTACGATCTATGGTCAGAATGCTGTCGTCTCTCAGCCCAACATTATCCGTGCCGGAAAGGCTGCCGTGGTTACGGTCAAGGGAGGAAGCAGTCTTGCCACATCTATCGCCAGTTCGCCATCGTCGACCGTTCCACCGGTGCCGGCTTTGTACCTGAACGGCAAGGGTAAGCAAAGGCAATCTACATTGGAGAAAGTGCCATCGAGCCCAGCCTTTTCGGTTGGATCGACCTTTTTGAACAGGATGAACAGCGTAAAGCAGCCGAAAACCGACCTGCCAAGCGGGGCTATTGGCGAGAATCACAGCACAACATCGTTCATATATGACTCGTCCGACTCGGATGACGCTGATATCGGGCCGGGCCAGCGGATCAAGCGTCCTCAATCAGCGTGCAGCAGTTGCATCACTGATATGGACACCACTTCGCCCTTCTCGGACACTAATTCGGTAGCAGTGGATGACATACCAGGCCCATCCAACTCTGGGCAGCCGCTAGCCGGCAATGCCCGACGACAATCACAGAGCTTGGCCCAACCCCAGTTGAGGACCCTGGATGTTAGGGTTGTGTCAACACAAAGAACCGTTAGTCCATTCGACGACTCGAACTCGATGGATAAGCAGTGAATGGTTGCGAGAAGGAATGTTTTTGTCTTTCTGTTTTTGCATAAAAAGGCTTGTGTACGCCATATGATTCCAATGTTTGTCCCATTACATTACCTCCCTCCCGCCGGCCTCCATTGAGTGTTTCTTGCTTATCCTCAGCCGGCTACCTACCTGCCGCTGTCCTGCTAGTTTGGTAGAGTGTTAGAAACAAAAGGCACTTGGGGCCGAAATCCCCCTCCGCTGCTCCCTCTACATTATATTGCATTGTCATACCTCACCGCCTGCCTCCTTCCTTCCTATGTTTCGTGTATTATTATTTTTTACTTTTTACTTAATCCCGGTGTTATATAACTGGGACTTTATTTTTTTTTTAAAAAAAGAAGAAATCTTTGGAATATCCTCACATTTTGTCTCACCGTTTGTGATAACTGTTCAATGAGATGAACGCTTCCCACAAATTCTTTTTCGTATTCGTTTCGGGTTTTTGTTTAGTTTGGTTCGGCTTGTTTGTTTTCATGGGTTTAGGTTGGTTGGGGCGGCTGGTATTTTTTTTTATATCTTTCTTCTTTCGTTGTGTTGGGAGGGTGGGTAGTTTGTGGAGCGAAATAGACTGTTCGTAGTAGGAACTTACGAAGGATGGATGTATTGATGGTGGGTTGGAAGGGGAATTCGCATCATATCACCATCTTCCGGGGCTAAGACTGGAGATTGGCGAAAGAGTGTATAATATTATTATGTTAATTGTTTACCGAATGGGTGCTTGTGTGGGATGGGCGGCCATCTACAATTATCGGATGGCGCCATTTCTGTGCTGGGCGATTTGGGGATTGGGGGAGGTGTAGCCTTATGCTTGAGCCGGCAAAGTGGGTGGTGATGTCTTGCTTTACCCTATCATCCATCCCATCCTCAGCCCGTATAATTTCATGGGGACTGCTTCACCCACATCACCCAATCACTCCCCTCAATCCGCCTCCTCCCTTTCCCCCGCCCCAAAAGCCCCAACAACCGGAACCCTCCTGACCTCCCACACATCCTCACTGCTCCTGCCAACCTTATACCTCCCCGCCTTCTCCTTAAACCTCGCCATGATCATAGCCTTCCGTGCAATTGGCCCGTAACTGCGCGTGCGCATGCAGAACCGCCAATCGGCCGCCTTCTCGCCGCAAGATCTAAGCTCGCCATACCTGTAAACTATTCAAACAAGAGGAATCAAAAGAAAAAAGAAGAGAAAATCAGCTCCCCCGTTAATTCTGGCCTTGGTAAAAAAACAAAAACATTGTGACGACGAGGCACGTACCATTCAAGAATTGCCCACCGAGAGAGTAACAATAGTACATTTCGTCGAAAGCCGTTATGCACGACATTTCCGTCGGGAAGGCCGTCGCCGTTTCCTCCCCGCCTTCTCTTTTGCTTCTCCCGCTGCTGCCGCTGCTGCTGCTGGTGGCCTCCGTTTCTAGGTTGGATAGCAACTCTCTCAGTTCTGCGTCCGCGGCCGCTTCGCGGGGGTCCGGGGTTTCGGGGAGGCCCATTTTTTTTTTCTTTTTCCCCTTTCTTCTCTTTTCTGTTATGATGTTTTTCCGGGGGATTGGTGGTGAGTTTGAATTTAAATGGTGTTGTTTCCTTCTTTCCTCCTTTTCTTTTCACTTCTTTTCTTATGCACGGCCGGGTAATTATTCTTGTATTCGAGTGATCTTTTGTGTCTTGGATGTTTTCTTTTCTTTTTGGTTGGGGGAGAGAGGGAGTGTGTGTGTGTGCGTGTTAGTGAGTGTGAGTGAGTGATAATTTGGTGAATGGGAAAGTGGTATGATAGGTGGGGTGATTAGCCGTCTTTTCCTTTATCATACTTTATTTCGGTTTCCTTCTTCCTCCTCCTCCTCCTCATTCCTCCCCACTTTCTCTTCCCCACCCAATTCTTAAAAATAAATAAACAAACCCCCCACCCAACCCGACCATAATGCCCCCAAAAGCGATCCTCATCGACATTGAAGGTTCCCCTCCCCCTCCCCCTCCCCCTTCTCAATCATCTATCATAACTAGCTATGACAGCTAGCTAAGCTAGCTAACAAACACAGGCACGATCTGCCCAATAACCTTCGTAAAACAAACCTTGTACCCCTACGCCCTGGCCGCCCTCCCGACCTACCTCTCGAAGAACTGGACGGCGACGAACCCGCTGATAACCGCCTTCCCCCAAGCCGACACCGCCACCCCGGAAGCCCTGGTCGAGCACGTGCGGACGCTGACGGTCCAGGACTCCAAATCGCCCGCGCTGAAGGCGCTCCAGGGACACCTCTGGCAGGCCGGCTACGAGTCCGGGGAACTGGTCGCCCCGATTTACCCCGACGTGCTGCCGGCCCTGCGTGCGTGGCGCTCCCGCGACGTGAGGGTGTACGTGTATTCCAGCGGGAGCGTTAGGGCGCAGGACTTGTTCTTTCGCTACTCGTGCGAGGGGGATGTCAGGGCGGTTTTCAATGGGTTTTTCGATACCGGGGTCGGCGCCAAGGTTGAGGAGGGGAGCTACCGCAGGATCTTGAGGGAGTGTGAAGGGGAGGAGGGGGCGGAGGGGTGGGTCTTTCTGAGTGATCATGTTGGCGAGGTTAGGGCTGCTATGGAGGCTGGGATGATGGGTGGTGTCGTGGTGCGCGAGGGGAATGCGCGGCTCGGTGAGGATGATAAGGTGGGAATGTGGGTTATTGAGGGGGGGTTTACGGAGGTTACGGAAAAGCTGTTTTCCGAGTAGGTGGAATTGGTGAGTGGGCTATATTCCTTTCCTGGTGGACGGCTGTGGCGGTGGTGTGCCATCCATTACAAGTGGCATGTGGAGCCGAGTGATTCTACGTGAACTACTTCGCCCCTCACCAATCCCCTGAAATTCAAAACCATCCGATATAAAAGAAACCCAAAGACTCTCATCCTGTGTTTTACTCTTGACAAAGAGCACGATACCAAACCCAACAAACCTACCGGCAAATCCCCAAACTTAAAGCGGGAAACAGAAAAAAAAGCATTGCATGGTATCCTAAAACAAAAACATTTTCGCCCGCATCCAGAGTTCTGATTCAGCACCCCTCCTATTTCCATCAATTTGGCATTGAAATAGCATCTATACGTTCCATTCCGTGCTTTTCTCAATGCCTGCTCGACACCCGTCAGTCATTGGATCCCGTAAACACACTAGGAGGGACAGTGAGGGGAACTCACCACTTGAACGTGAAATCACTTAATTGACCGAAACCATCAAACCAGTCCTCTGCCATGACACCCCATTCACCTCCTCACCATCAGTGGCAACACAGTCACCGCGAGGGCGGCGACAATGCAGCCGTTCGCGGGACGCCCTCAGACCGGTGTCTGGAGATACATCCTCGCGCTTATGTGCGAGGGAACAAAACCATCAATCTACTGTCCCATCAGTCGTTGCGGCTGGTAACAAGTTGTGCGCACGTTAAGGAGGGGACATGCTAACCATCGTAGTATTCGTCCTCGTCATCAATATCAGCAAGCTGCTCAAAGTTGACCTTGTACCTGAGCAATGCGCCAATGCCGCCGAAGCCCTTGACAAACTGGTTGCCTTCTCCGGACCTGTCAGATACGAATTCGAGAGTTGCGCCAAAGTCCTTGTACTTCTCCGCTAGCCATTCCAGGAAGGGGGCTTGCTCGATCACCTCCATTTCCTGGCCCGAAACCCTGTCCATGAACCGCTCTCGGTTCTGCTCCTGAAGCTTGGTGGTGTGAAGAATCACCGGCGCTCCGCTAGAGGGCTTGAGGGTCCAGCGAGTGACGTCAAGGTTCTCAAACACGATGAGAGCTAGAGTGAGGGGGGGAGTGTTAGCCTTTGCTCCGCTCCTTTCGACCTTGAGGGAGCGGGTCAAGTTGGGTGGGGTATTTGTGCGCTTACTCTCGCAAGCGCCGAGCTCCAACGCCTTCAAGGTATCCTCCACACCATAGCAGATCCTCCCGCTGTCCTGGGAGATCTCGTCAAAGTATTTGCCAATCAGCTTCTTCTCCTGAATAAATTTGACATTGCTGAGCGTCTCGGATGCCAACTCGATGGCCTGGTTAAAACCATTTTCCCCACCATACGAGACGTCAACAACCTTGATAATCTTGGCCTGCAGCCTCTGATCGAACAGCTCACTCTGGGCAAGCTCGGACTTGAAATCCGCCGACCCAGCAAGGATCAAGCCGGAAACGTTGACCTTGTCAGCGGTGATGAAGTTCTGCACGGCCAACTCGGCGACCTTTCGAACGTAGTTGTGCCGTTTCTCTTCCCTGAGGCGGGCGAAACGAAGCGCAGATTGACCACCACGGCCATGCTTCTTTGGGAGATCGACAGAGAACTTGTGAACAATGTCCCGCGTGTTGCCGCTGAGGGTTCCGAAAAGGGCACCGTTACCGTCCATCACGATGAAACCAAACCTGCTGTCGGACTCAAGCAGCTCGGATAGGGCTTCGGTGTGGAACTTGTTGTCGCAGAGGTAGAGTGAGGTGTTGATCGGCTTGAAAGGTTCAAAGTTGATGTTAATCTTGCGCTCCTTGCCCTCACTCGTGATTATTTCGCCGCAGTAGACGACCAGTCCATTGGGTGGGACCCTGGTGTACAGCTTCAAACGCTGCTGGGTGGAGGTGATGGCGGACAAGACAGAGAGACGGTTGACTCTGGATTTGATATTGGAGGCGGTTCCCTACGGGGTAAAAAACAGAGTGAATCAACGGCCATATCCGAGGTCGATTTCGCGAGGTTCCAAACAATGTTTTGCCAGGGGAAAACGAGGCTGTACTAACATATTCTTCAGCCAGCATCTTTGCGGCCCGAGAAATCTGATCCTTTGGCGGAATGATGAGGGAAATCATGCTTGTGCCATTGCCTCTCGCCTCGGTAAGACGCTTGATGAGCTTCTTGACCTAGTTGTCCGGATCGAAGCACCTTAGCTCAGGGAAACATTCTTTTGAAAATTTTTTGAAGATGAGGGGAAACTTTTGTTTCCCCCCTTCTTGCCGCATCCGCCAGGGGGAGAAAAGGGAAGGAAAGGAAGAGAGCCGCCTGGCATACCTTCCAGATCTCAATGTTCTTTTCAGTGTCGTTTGCCTGAGCCTGTGACATGTCGAGGTAGATTTGCGGAACCAAGCAAGAAAAGAAAAGAAAGGAGAAAGTAAAAGATTTCGTATTCCAAACAAGTCAAGAAATCTGCTTGGAAAGAAGAAAAGGGAACGAGGGGGGAGGTTGGAATGGTATGAGTTACCGGTACACTCGAGTAGAGGTGAGTGAGAGAGGACATCAAAGTTGGGTCCCCTCTTGGCAGATGGACGGAGACAGAGTGAGGGAAAAAGCATCTTCTGAGGCGAAGACCAATCATTGTTAGCAATGATAACTACCGGTACCGTGCTGCGCTGTACGTACAGTACCGAAAATGTATTCGAGTATCATACTTGTCCTCGCAGTGACTCGGTGGCGCTACTCTGTTGGACTGCGGTCTCTTGGTTGGGTAGGGTAATTCCGGCTGGTCTTTGCGGACTGGGAACTGGGAATACTCGATGTACCGTATGATATGTATGATACGGTACTCAATCCTTTCGCGGTGATGGTCTAACTTCATGTCCTGAACGGCCAGACCAGACGATGAGACGACCATACTTGTGATATCGGGATTGGGTTGGATGGATAGGATACCTTCTCCTACCAATTCACCGTATTCTTGCAACAGCATTAACTTACCCACAAGCCGGCACTGGCAATGCCGGATTAAGCATCACCTCGCTGACCCCCCTTCCCTCCTCCTTAAAGATTTCTTACACCCACAGTCACGGCGCTGATCCAATGTGACAAAGGACAAGACTGCAGACTGCCCTCTCTCCCTCCCCACAACAAAGAGGAGTGGGGCGGGATCTTGACAGGCTTGGATTGATCCACAGGATTAAGACCCTACCGTAGCCCAAACGAGTGAATCTATGACCGAATGATGATGGTGATGGCAGGGGGAAGGGGGGGTGTGAGGCTCAAGATAAATGAGCCCTCACTCCCTTAAGGTTCAAGCCATCATACCCTGGGGTTATCATATCATACTCGAGTACTCGAGTACCGGTACTCGTTCAGTGGGAGAGGGGATGAAGGATTACCGTACCCCCCCCCCCCCCTTTTCTTTCCCTCCTTTCCACTATGAGGGAGCGAAATCGGACATTCCACTCGTACTCTGCTCGAGCACTCAAGTGTACGGGCTGTTGCCAAGCGGGGAGGGAAAAAACGTCAAAATCGGGAGGAGCAATCAATCCCGATTCCTCCCGGCGATTGGCCAGGGTGCGTTCCGGTGATTTGTAACTGGGTCCGAAAGCGGTACTGTATGATACTAGATATTCTGGGGAGCCACCTCTTTGCTAGCGGTCTTCACACTGTGCTCGTACAAGTGTCGTACTACCGGTAGTACACTCCGGGCACTTAGTACTGGACATAATGAAGTCGGACACGGGGGCAAAGATTAGTACGGCAAAACTGGTCGTGCACATGGGAGTGCCTACCGTATTCTGCTCTATTCTATTATACTCGAGTATGATGGATTCTGACTCAGGAAGTTCTGGTTCGTTATGCCCGGTGCGTGTGTGTGTGTGGGTACGGTACTCAGTGCTCTTGGTATCATAAAAATTTACCTACCGTCTTTGACTGCTGCTGCCGGTGCCCTCTCTCCTCCGGTCCCGGGGGACGCCGCGGGGCTGCCATGGTAGCTCCCAGCGGAGTCACAATTGCTTGCTCCAAGAGTGTCTTTCGTGTAGGAGTAATTTTTGTCTCTGCCTCCTCCAATGTTGAAATAGCATCCAGTATCATCATATCCTCGGCCCCGAGCGCAGTCATTTGACAGAAAAAACAACTTTTCTATCACATTTCGGAACCTTACTAACCAGTGTCTTGGGATGAGGTACCGTATGATAATATAATTTCGCATAAGCTACTTCTTTATTTCAACGCACCGGTACTGTACAGACGCCTGCCGGCTCTCGTCAGATAATGCGGTAGTCTAGTCTACGAGTAAGTTTACTTTCGCAAGGGAGGAAATCCCAAGCGGGTGGCAACCCGGGAGCAGCAAGTAAGTTATCATAACTGGCAATCCTTTGTTACCCTGCCTTGACAAATTCCCTTTTTGCCCACCGGCGCTCCTCCCTGATCGCCCCGCCGAGTTTCGCCGTAGCTAAATTACTAACTTACGGTAAAGATTCTCTCTCTCCATGTGTGTGTGTGTGTGGATAGACTGCGTGATGTCGGTAGGGGAAGAGGAGGGGGGGTGGGGGGAGAAGAGAAAGAAAGAGCAAGATCCCGCGGTGAATAGTACCGATTGCTGTACTGTAGAATTATTATTTTTTTCGTCCTTTTTCTTTCTCTCTCTTTAGCAGACTTTAATAATGGCTCAGGTAACCCTGTGCGGAGATGGTATACCGATATAATAGCCCCGCTAAAATGATTCTCAACGCTTCGATTCTTGTCGTCCTAATTCCTTGTACGGCCTGGGCTACTGGCCCTTGGTCTACCCTTGCTCTGCCTAGCTCTATGACCACCGGTAGACTATGTAATTGAGATCCTTCAGCAGAACCTGACCGGGTATCTCTTTCTCTTGGCATGGATGTCCAGAGGTGATGTGCACGATAGAGCAGGATCTCGCTCGCTACCCACCTTGACTGCTCCGCTCGCACATAGCTCCGCTCACAAAGGACCCATAAAGTCTCCCTCCCCTCCTCCTCCTCCTCCCCTTATCCCCCTTCCCCTCCCACCTCCCCCTACTGTTGGTATTCGGCATTTAGAGACTTGTTCACCTATTGATTGTTCGGGATATGGTTACCTCCTCCACCGCTACGGATACTACCGCTATGCCAGTGTCTCAATATCAAAGCTTTTCAGGCCAAGCAAACATGCCTTCCACCTCGCCGCTCCCTTCTGTGGCATACCTTGGGCCTAGGAGTTCGTATTCTCATCAGGTGGGTTCATGCCCGCTTCGCATATTTGCCCTTTTAAAAAGCAAATGAAACCCGAATTAACAGATGGCCCAGGCAGCGTTGGAACGCTTCGATCCAGCAAACCACACCTTTGAGCCTCGATCCGGAATCGCCGGTAACCCTCTCTTCCATGCATCCATTCACCCATCCCACTTCCCACTCCAGGCTTCACATAAAAGCTAACAATCAACCAACCGACCAACCACACAGACGTCTTCACAGCCGTCCAGACCGGTGCAGTAGCCTACGGCGTGGTCCCTTTCGAAAACTCCACGAACGGGAACGTGGTCTTCACCCTGGACCTCTTCTGCGACCGCACTCGCTCCTTCCGCGACACCTTCGTCCGCGGCGAGACATACCTCGACGTGCACCACTGTCTCCTCTCGAGCGCCCCGTCGCTCTCCAGCATCGCCAGGATCTACTCGCACCCGCAGGCCTTCGGCCAGTGCGAGAACTGGCTCAGCGCGAACGTGCGCGGAGTCGAGCGCATCGACGTCTCGTCCACCTCGAAGGCCGCGCAGATCGTTGCCGGGGATGCGGGCGCCGCCGCTATCGCGAGTAGGGTCGCCGCCGACGTGCACGGCCTCAAGATACTTGCGGAGAATATCGAGGACTCAGCGGACAATACTACTAGGTTTTTCGTGCTGGCTGCCCAGCCAGGGTTGAAGGCTCCCGTGTCCAAGGGGTACGGAGAGTCGGATAAGACGCTTTTGTCTTTCACTGTTGATCATGAGATTCCCGGGGCACTTTGCGATAGTCTGAAGGTCTTCAAGGATTTTGGCCTTAATCTTACGAGCATTGCGAGTAGACCGAGCAGGCTCCTACCCTGGAATTATATCTTTTTCGTCGAGTTCCAAGGGCACAGCGATACTCAGTATGTCCAGACCGCGCTGGACGAACTTAGGAAGTACTGCTTGAACTTGAGGGTCCTGGGGAGCTATAAGGACGAGCAGCGCAGGAAGGGAAAGATTCATCGGGAGAGCGAGAGAAAGATGGCGGGGAACGGAAAGACCCCCTGGTAGACGTGCGGGAGGTGAGAAAAAAAACGGAAAACGGAAAATTGGCAACATGTAATAGTGCTAGTTAGGACGTTCAACCCATATCCTAGACTCATTTCATTCATAGGCAACTTCTGGCCGGGAACATCAAGCCCTTTCCTCCCCAATAGGCATCACCAACAGCCCTCGCTACTTCATGGATGGAGAGGTGAGTCCTTTTTTTCAGAATGTCCCTTTTTTTTACATCAATGTAGAATGGATAGAACAAGCGGATATCCTATCAAAACACTTTTCACAGTCGTAAAATAAGTGACCGAGAACTCGTAGAAACAAGAAGGCTAAACGAACGCATGGGTCAGAACTGCCACCCCCCCTCCCAGAAATACATAGCAGACACCGAGCTTCTGCACCCGCTTTTATTCGTACCCAGGATGTAGATCACCGCTCTAATTGTAGAATGCGTGAGCCATTATTGCACATCAATTTCCCAACTGGCCGTCAATAACGCCGCAAAAAAAAAAAAAAACAATTAAAGAAAAAGAAACGACATTGATGGGTAAGAGAGGGAGCACAAGTCATCTATTTCCCGTACTTCTGGAACTCCCAATCGCGATTGTCGAGAGGACAGACTTGACGGGTCTTTAGCCAGCGAGAAATGCAATGGAAGTGAAATGCATGCTAGAGTTGGAATTAGCGTTGGCTTGATACCTCTGACGGACCCTACTTGAAGAAGGAGAGAAACTCACGTTGCAGATACCCCAGGCAACAGTGCATTCTTCACTCACTGCGCTGGCCTGATTTGCCTGGCATTCGATGCCTATCCAGAGTAATATTGTCAGCTCCAGCCTCACCGATAGTAAAAATGAGAAAGAGAGCAATAGTAATAATAATAGTAAAGAGGTCACCCGTACAGAGATCCATAATGTGGTTACGGCAAATCGCGCAGTTTTCAACAACTATATCCCAAGACCATAGTGCTACTGCATTCCACTTTATCATCGATAGCATGTCAGCACCCAAGCTCCTAACAGATATACTTGATCACCAGCTCCATATAGCGGGGCTTGTTTGTAGATTTCTCTCGAGTGAACATGGAGATAAACATACTTTCTTGACCTCGAATCTGGGCTTCTTGGTAGGCTCTGACGATTCTCCTTTAGAGACGGTCTTAGCATCTTTCATGTCGACGTCGGCCATTTTTGTTTACTTGCTCGTGAAGTTTCGGTATTGGTGGTATACGGATGATGCAGAGGGAAGCTTTGTTTTGGGTTACGGGCGGATGAGCTCGAAGCGGCGGCGGTGGGGAAGACAGAAGTTGGGGATAGTTGAGTTGGACGGTCGGAGGGGGATGGGTAACCCTGTTGGAGTCTTCGGCCACTGGACCAGGAAGCACCCATGCCTCTGCATACAAAGGCTTTGTCAAATCTAGTTGTGTGGTCACGTTACACAGCGCTCTTGTCAGATCAATCAAGATAAGGATCGAATTGCTGCCTGGGTTGATTGATTGACGAGATAAGATAAGTTAAGATAAGTTTCCCTATCACACCCAAAGCCCCCCCAAAAAAATGTATGATAAGATCTCAAACAATCGAACGGCGTGTTAGGCAAGCGGTCCGGAATTTCTTCTTGGGAAAGGGTGCGAAAGTCGCAGCAAAATGTGAGTTGTTTAGCCTCACTGAAGGGCAAATAAGAAAAACGGTACGGTACTATACTGGTATGGTGCAAAGCGTTCTAAACATGTACCAAGGAGGTTGCATCTTGTAATGCCCCCCATCTTACCTGTATAGGGTTTCATGTACCAACAATAAGTTTTCAAGATTCTGGGCTCTATGTATCATAGCTTAAAAATTTGGTAATCAAAATCTCCTGAATAGAAATAAAGATAAAATAAAAAAACCTGAACGCAATCATAAATTGAACTTGGCACCTTGAAAACTTCTTGTTGCTACAAGTACTGTACATATAACCCTATACTCGTGCACAGATAAGATGGAGGCATTACAGGATGCAACGGCCTTGGTACACGTTTAGAACGCTTTGCACCATACCAGACCTTACCAGAGGAGGCAACTCGGACTACATATTATCACACCATTGTTGGTTTGAGACTCTGCGGTTATCCAACACGTCTCCCCACGAAACCCCGCCATCCCTGAGCCCCTGAACCGAATCAGCAACTGAAGGACAATGGAGCCGCCCCGGAACGACCCAAACCATAGATACCGGCCTGCTCGTCAGTTACCATACACTCTGAACGAGCGGGCTAGGGTTAGCATTGAAGAAACTCTTTGTATGTATCAGATCCATCCAGCGGAGCTTTGATATATCCTCTAATAAGAATACATGGTCATAGATCCGTCAGCCGTTGAGTTTTTAAACAGTATATCCATCCCTGGGGCCTCCACACCCTCAGAGGCTCCCCCCCCAGCCTTCATCCCCCCCAGCACCTTCCAGCGTTGCATAACTACCCTTATTGCACATCCGTACTATACTACTCAGGTGTCGAAGAACGAGCCCTTCTCGACCGCTCCGGGCAATGCCTATCTGCTACTCCGCCGCATGCTGAGGCTGGTTGGACCGCTCAATGCGGAGTTTGCCAAAGCGTGGGAATTTAAGAAGAATGCTCGCGCAGGTCGTCAGGCTGTTAGAGGTAGAACGAGGGGTAGGGGCGGTAGAGGCAAGGAGCCAGATCCTGCTGATGCATTCTCCACGGACGATGATTTGAACGGAGACCTTGCCACAATAGAGTCACTTTTCAATGTCGCGGATGACTTTTGGTCAATTGTTGGCTGGGCTTTCACCTGTTCGGTGTCTCATCCTAAGCGCTGGGAGTGGTGGAAGCTGGTGCTCGACCTGATGATGGATGTTGTGAAGCAGGATTGGGAGGATCGTTTGGAAACCAAAGGGGTTACTGGGGATAAGAGTACACTGGACGGGGCGCTGTTCCTGAAGTTCTTGCCCCAGGATACTGGTAGCGTTGGGTGCAAAAAGATTGTCAGGGCGATCATGACATGCGCTGAGGAGAAGAGTTTCAACGAGTGGAAGGAGATATGGGAGAATGAGCTCTCCACAAAGAGGCCGAGGAAAATTAGAATGGGAACTCAGGATACTGCATTCATGGGCGACGGCGAGGATGAAGAAGAAGAGATGAAGAATTGGAGAGGAGAAGCGGACAGTGACGGTGACACAGAAATGCAGGATGCTGACAATTCTGGTGTTGAAGTGGAAGGTCTTCCCTCCGTATCGGAAGCGTACGGCGGCATGGAGTCTGTAGACCTCCGTCAACGACTATTATCTATGGTAAGCTTTCCACACACCTCACTAATGTATCTAACAAAAACCACTAGCTTTCCACGGTCTGTATCGCCGGTTACTATGTCCCACCGGAAGGCCTCTTCTACGAACTGGCAGAAACCTTCATCCGCCTTCCCCTTCCATATTTCCACTTCTTTACTTCCACACTGCTGGACACGACCACGGAATACAAATGCACCCTGAATCAACTAATTCTCAGCACAATAATTTCAACAAAAGCCCCAGTCTACAGCGGTCGACTAACCGCCACCGCCCTGATCAACAACTATCTCCCATTTGAAGCAAAGACGACTCAGTTAGCCGATAACGCTAGAGTGGCAATTCTACTAGAAAGCCTAACCCGCCTCCTCATCAACGCTAAGCTCCTCGAGTACTCGGAGGGGTTACAAGCCGCAGTGGCCAAGGGTATCAAGGCGCGCACATCTAAGGTTCCCAAATCGTTTGCTAAGCCGGGCACACCGAAGTATCTTGTGGATCGTGAGACCAGGGGCATCTGGGGCGCGGCGGAAACAAGGTTGAAGGGACTTGCAGAAATTTTGCGGATACAGAAGGAGGAGGGGGGTTCAGTATTTTAGTTTGCAAAGTTGAATTAGGGCGTTGATGTGTATTAACATCTCCTGCTCCCCACCCCCTTTTTTTCCCTCCACTATTTTGATAGTTCATTTTTATTTGTTTATACTAGTATACCAGCACTGGATATGTCATCCTATCCTAGCTTTATTTTTTTTTCTTATGAGCATCGCGGGAATTATTTGGTTTATCTGGGTGCGGGGGAAAGGGGCGTTTTCGGATCTTTAGGATGGTACACTCGAGTATACTGGTTATAGTTTAATGACCTGATATTCCTACCCCAGCAGCTGTGGGTGTGTTGTTTGGATGGAACCTAGATTGTAATAGTAGTTGGATAATTTAATGTACTCGATTACGGTAGATAGCTTATAGTAGGCCCATCTGCTAGCGTTACAATCTACAGCACTTGCTCTAGCACTTTGGGCAGCGGCCTAATCACAAACTATCACACGCCCCCCAGCCATTCCCCCAAACCTCCACTGTACAAGGAAAACCCGCAACTCCTCTTAACAGCCACCCCTTCATCCCTACAAACATACCACACTGGGCCCAGAATCCCCACTTCCTCACCCTCCCCTCCTCAATCCTGAGGACCACCGACCCCTGCAAACCCACCTCCAGCCTGCCAAGCCAAGCCACAACGGTCCCTTCCTAAGCTCACCTCACCAACCGAACCACACCCTCACCCCTCCCGCAAACCAAACCAAACCAAACCCACGCTCCACGAGCGAACGAACGAACGCCGAAAATGTCCACATCTGCCCCCTCACCCCCTCCCGACGACCCAGGCCTCTTCCGCTGGGCCCTAAGTTTCCTACTCGTCGGTATGGCCTGGTAAACACCCTCCCCAAGTCTCCACACCTCACATCATATGATACCGGCTAACAACCACCAGGGGCTTGACAAATCCGTACGATACCCCTCCCCTAACCCAAGCCCCACAAAGAACTAACAAACAATAACTACCCCAGCTTCATTCGCAAAGCCGCCGTGGCATACCATCCGCCCAAGCGTGCAGTCCTGGAAAATCCTCGGAGCGGCGTTCTGAAGATTTGGGTTTTGAAGTACGTACGAAGTGCCGAGTACCATATGTGCCGTGGGTTAATGGAAGGGGTGGTGGTGGTTTAGGGCGGCGTTTGCGACGTATGATTTGTTGAGGAGGCCGGCTTACGCTATTCCGTTGTGTATTGTTTTTTTTTTTTTTTTTCTCCTGTCCCTTTGTTATTCGTTGAGGGGGGTGAAGGGCTGATGTGAGGTGATAGTGATCAACTTGACTGGATCGGTGTGGTTTTTTTTGTTGATTGGGGGGGCTGGTATGATACTTCTTTCCCCCCAATTCGGATTAGGGCTGATGTAGGGTGTGATAGAATTGAGTTTGGCGGTCCCGATCATCAACTCGTTGGCCTTCTTGTTTACGGTTTTGGGAGATTGGTTGGCGGATGGGAAGAGGGTTCATAGAGGTTTGCGTTCCTCTCATGTAGTTTTGGGTTGTGGGATAGAGGACTAATGGGAAGGGGGGTCGATGTAATAGATACTTGGGTTGGAATGGTGTTGGTGCTTGGGGGGATTGGACTTTGCGTGCATAGCAAGCAGTGAAGGAAGTAAGTAAGTAATAAGTAAGAGAGGGAGAGAGGAAAGAGAATTGCGGGATACATATATATATATCATGCCCTGTTTCAAGATTGGGATTCCACAATAAGATAGACGGGTATCATCTAGATTTGGAGAGGGATATTCTTAATCATCATCAATCGCATCAAACAAGTATGATACGATACCCATGGCTTCCAAGCTTGCAAAAGCCCGCAAAAGCACTCACCATGCAAACCACGACCAAATTCCTGGAAACAGCGCTGCGATTATTAACCCCCTCCACGACCATTATGCATACTTCCGGTAGGGTCACGGTATATCAGGATCACGCCCATGACCACCATGACGGGCCAACCCAACTCATTCCATACAACAACGCCTTAGGACTCCACTCCCACCACCCACCCCCCCACACCGAACCCCCGCCCACCTGTAAACACCCTAACAAATCCATACTCTTCACCAATGCCCCCCCCCCCCCCTCCCAATTCTACAAGAGCATTGGTGATACCACTTGTTAGGCAACTAGCTCTTTCCTCAAATTCTCCGGCCATGGTGGTACTGTACTGTACACAACCCCATGGCAACCCCTCCATCACCTGTCTGGTGCGAGCGGATCGGGATCGTTGACGGAGATCTCCAGGGGATGGTAAGGTTGTCCAACCTATCCAGCAACAATTTGTAGAAGCATCGGGGGTGATGAATGCGTGGAACTTTCTTCATGCAAACCATTTGTCCGTTGGTACCGTGCTGGGGGGGGTATTTAAAGCTCACTTACTAAGAAAAAACTGCCAAAGTACGGAGCGAAGGTTTTACTCTAGTGACCACAAATCTGCGACCGGGAACGTGACTCGGCCAAGTGCCAATAAATTCGACCCCTTACGATACGAGGGAACCCAACATGGATGGTAAAGAGGGTCCTCGAGTTGGATTACACCAGCATGGTTGTAAGAGCCTGATTTTCGCATGGTCGGTCGTTCATTCACAGCCAGCCAGACACAATCATGATAATCAGCACAACCCACCTACTTGTGTGATACCAGGCTGACTGCCATTTCTGCGGCAGCGGGGAGAGAGACACACTGCCCTGATTGAACTGAACTTCCAGGGGTGGCCAACATATCGAGTGATACAAGATGAGAGTCCGGTATCGGTGATAGTCTATCCTATCCTATCCTATCTTTCCCAGGCTTCCTCCGTTGATGTTGTGTGTGTGTGTGTGTGTGTGTGTGTCTGTGGATAAGGCATCATGTGCTGGGATTTACATTTGTGTCCGTGGACCGAGCTATGGGGGTCGATCGACGGTGGATAATTTAGTCTAGCTAGACTAATATGTGATAGCTCCTCATCTCACGGACGGTATGGTGTACCGGTAGTAGTACTTGTAAAAGCCGTAACTAATTCCATAATTATGGAGACCCTCCACCCTTTCTCCCGGGGTATGTGGGGATCCTGAAAGATAGTAGCAGTATTATATTATGCGGTAATTAAACGGCACAGAGGGTAGGGATACGGAACCGTGTGGCAAATTCGTGATAATCCCCCCTCCCCCCCCTCCTTCATTATGCGTAACTCGAGTATTAACTAACTAGTACAATACTGGAGAAATCACAGGATGGTTAATCATGAAAAATCACTCGTGGGAACGGTAGCTACGGTAGCAAGGCAGGCAGGCAGGCTGGTAACCTTTGGGATTTTCCTCCAGAATGCACTCGTACGGTATTATTACGAGGATTATTTCCCGGATTGGATGCTGCTATTACCTTACGTTGCGAATTGAGGTGAATAAAAAAAATAAAAGAGTACGCTGGACTAGCAGCAGTAAAAGTGGCGGGATAACCTCGCCCAATAATTACAAACCCGCCGGATGCTTCCCTTTCTTGAAAAGCCAGTCACACATTACGGATCACAGTATCGCCCCCCACCAGTCAGTCACTGGCTGGCCCGTTCCATCCCCGAGGGGTAGATATCTGCTTTCTTTACCAACTCGACCGAGCGCCTCGCACCCGTAGTGTGCTCGGGTACGGTATTACGAGTAGAGCACCTCTACCATGTATCGCAACAGACCGGGGGGGGCACTGCACGGTACAATACAAATGCCGTATCCGTGAGCTCACTTGGCCAATCACGAGACTTGGATCATCATCTTGCTTCCCGGCGTAAAAAAAAAAACTATGCGGTACCACCTATGCATCTGCATCTCCTCAGAGTGCGAACCAGCTTGTTAAGGCACATTGCCCTCCAACCCCGCTCCGATATCAGGCGTCGCACATTATCTGACTTCCCACTGAGGGGGTAATGGATAATAGCGAGAAAATAACATAGGCCTACCCACCCGCGTCGTGCATCGTGCGTCGGTCGTCGACCGGCGCGCTGCTGAATATGATACCGCCAATGCAAGCATCGAGACGCCTTGCACGAGCATCTGACAAGCGCACGATTTCCAATGCAACGAGATGCCCACCACCGCACACTCCGCCTTATACAATCGCGGTTATGGGTACAAGAAAACTTGTACCGGTACCTTAACCTACCCACCACATCATGCCTTACCCCACCTTCACCAACCCCACCACTCTCCTCCATCACGGGCATGTGAGGGATCAGCCTTAAGAAGCATAGCACCCCCGTCAGTGCCCAGCACCCATCCCCATTCACACGGTGAAATACCGACTGCCAATATCGTGAGGTGAAAACAATGTGCACTTCTGGGCGCCATTCAAACGCATTCTGATGCACTCTGAAGGCAGGCTTATTCAGTAGCGTGCTGTTGCTCGTACTCGAGTGTCCCAGTCCTACGCGCGGCAACGGCAGGTCCGAATTCTGATCCGGGCTGGGGAGCAACGAAGGCACGGTGTTGGAAAAAGTCGGATTGGTCGCTGGCAACGTCGGGGTGATTTTTTTTTTCTTTCCCTTCCTTTCTTTTCCCTTTGTTTCTTTCCTTTTTCTGTTTTAGTTGATTCGAGATGGGGCTGCAGTGGGAGTCGGTATTTTGGGTTTTGATTTTTTTTTCCGTCGTGGTGGTGGTGAAGTGTATATATATAAACGTTTGATTGTTATTTTGATAATGGGTGCTTGCTTTTGAACTGTCTAGAGGAGGAGGAGGAGGAGGAGGAGGAGGGCAGACTAAGGGAAGTCCGGTATCGTATCCGTTAGAGTACAGTACGCGTCCGGTACTGATAGTGATGAGGTCATCAGACGTAAGCGCTGTAGCAAACGAGTATCGCACCGCACAGTACCGGTACCGGTATTGCCGGCAATTAATCTAAGCGATGGGGTTCCGCTGCGATATGATACCATATTGTACTCGTACAGCAAGGGCTGCGGGGGGAAAAGAGAAACGAAACGAAAAATGTTCAAATCCCCTTCATTCTCCCGCCATGTTTGGCCACGGCTTTCACGGTGCGGCTGCAAGCTAGGGTTCGACCTGCGGTATGAGGGATGATGGAGCTGTGTGATGGGGTAATGGGTCGTCCAGTGCAGTTGAGGAGCCCATTATAATCCCGTACAGTATAGATACATACCACGTCCACAACGTATCAGAAACGAGAGAGAGGTTGGCGCCATGCCAATAATTATTAATAATATGGTACGATGATTCTGTCTGGTCGACAAGGTACTGCGCAAAGCGTATCTTTCAGGCACGGCATTTTTCTCTCTCGCGATACCGGTCCTGGCACTACGGCACCGCGAACGAATAGGATACAGCACACGTTGCCGGTACGGTCGGTGGTGTGGGTAAGGTATCATGCGCAATCAATTGACAAACTGACCGGTTCACGCCCGGCGTGCGAATTGGAAGAGTCCTGCTTAGCCGGAGGTGGAATGTGGAGTGCGGAGGGGGACACCGTGCCGGTAGGGAAAGTGGGGCGGGATATTTGTTTGGTGGATTGGTGGAGGTGGAGCTCTCGTTATTCCGGCGGGCGGGCGGGCCTTGAGGGAGGGGAAGGTCGAACCCGGCACCATTCCGAGTGAGAGTGATGACGCGAGTATTATTTACCGTAAAAACTCAAATAATCGAACCGGGTGCTATGT